TTAGTGCAATACAAATAGTATACGATGAACATATATATGGAAAACACAAAATCTACAACAGGATATATAACATGGAATATAGAACACAGAATATATAACACAGAATATATAACAAATATCTCACTGTCGCCCTCACAATCCTTTCACACAATTAACGCAATCCATGGACCCAACCCCTAGTTTCCTGTCCCGGCCCTACTTTTCCCATTCGTCGTATAACCGTAGTCAGTCAAGCAGTCAAATCAACCCTAACGATTATACATCAACGATACACAACTTACAACAATTATAGAAAGTGTCACGGGTCACTAAGCATTTAAATCACAATTCACATAATATAATTTTATGTCAGATTTATGTCCTTCACCACTTCCTCCCGTCAGGTCCCCGGTTTGTTTCGAAACAGAACAGTCTAGTCTTTCCACAGTCGTCCCACGCGTTTTGTCGTTTCCAGTTAACTCCAGGTTCCCAAGACGCTTGTTTCGGTCCTCGCCCGCGTTCGTTTCGCGACTACATGTAGTATCCAGCAACCGAAGATAGTCCTTAGAATGCGTTGTTATGGATATCCTTATACAAATCCAAATAGAATCATTTTTGTTTTGGCAAAAAACATGGCTCACACATAACACAATTAACACTGTGCGGACGATGAACAAGAAATATACATGTTGCGCGCAGTTCACCGTAAGATAAGGCTTCCCAGCCTCCTCAAGACGTTTCGTGACTGGTCCGTCGTTGAGATGCTTAGTAGGTCTTTCCGCTGTGATTCTCGTCGTTCATCTTGTTGGGGTCCCTACATGGGCGCCAAATGTCACACTATCAACTCTAATTCGTTGTGTGTTGAACGTTTTTTTTATTAATACCCCTGATTTCGGATCTCAATCACATCACTACACAAACCATGGGGTCGTGTCAGTCACTTAACTCTACTATATGTGGCGCCTGGACTCCCGAGGACGTCCAGAGCGACGTGGCTAGTCTGTGATTCTGCCCAGCACCCAGGGGTATCTCTAGTTTTATTACCCTACACACTCACTCTTGCACGACTTCCTCACCTGTCACACCTGGACATGTACACGTCTCAAGACAACACCATATAAGGACAGACACTGACACTACCTAACAGATAACACCAAATAAGGACATACACGTGAATGCACGGACAGTAACGAATACAGATTAAACAGGACGTTACAGACACTTACTCCAATTTACCTTGTGACATATAGAATGAACTACGACAGGAAATCATTTTAGAGCTGCCCCGTAATCCCCTTACCCCAAAAACCTAAATATAAGATAGTGTAGTTTCAAGTATAATTAGGACACCGTTTAAGGTATGGGGGTCCTAAAATGGCAGACATTAGTAATGTCGAGAGACTTAACCTCCCAGCTGATAGTACTACTTACGTAGTCCATCTTTTATCCCTCTAACATCTCTTTCTACATTAAATCTACAAAAAAATGTTACTAACATGTCACACCAGCTAAATGCATAAACTATCCTAATCCCCCACACACCCCACCCTGAGGAGAGAATCCTGCTATTCATACTGAATAACCTTACACTAACATACCACCTTTCACTCCAACCTAACATTTTCCGTCAAAAGGACTTCTAAATTTCCCGTAACTAAAATTAATAATCATAGTAAGACAGCCTGGATATTCGGCAGGAATTCCCGCCTAGATACTATTCTGATGACTGTCAGAAATGTATCCTCCTAAATATGTATCAGATAACTGTCCCCTAGATACTATCCAGATGACCTTCATAAATGTTTTCCCCCTGAATATTTATCAGATAATTGTCCCCTAGATACATTTCTGATGACTCTCAGAAATGTATCCCCATTACTATGTATAAGCTAATTGTTCAATAGACAATATTTACCTTGCTATCGCTGTAATTGTTATTACTGGTTTGTTTAGATGAATCAGACAATATTATTAGGTGTGCTCTAATTATTTACAAAAGCTGACTGAATTCATAATTAGTTCAGGTGGTAATGTTGTGTTTGACAAAGTTTATACAGCAATATATACCTTAGAATGTCAGTTTTTTAAAGACCTTGAATAAAGTTACATTTTTATAGTATACATATTCTTAAAGTTATTAAGAGATTGATACTAACAAGAACTCTCTCTCTGGCCATTTTCTTTCCATGGGATGACTTTGATAAAACTGGACATCTTCTGGCAGGTCCCTGCATATGACACCGAATGCTGATTGAAAATTTTTTCTATGTATATTTTCTGAATTCATTTCGTCAGTTTCTGCAACTCTTAATATATTCTGTCTGCCTCTCTGTCTTTATATTGTTAAAACAACATCATGTCATCTTACCTATTGTCAAGGATATGATGGCGAAGCAGGTTACACAAACTTACATGTAAATTATATAAGCTATTTATTACATTTAATCACAATAATTGTTTTGTATGGAACATATCAAATTCATATATAAAATTGATGAGAATTAAAGAAGAAATTTACAAAAATGTCATGTTAATTGGATTGGTTATCAAACATGGCATTGGAATTTACATTTAATTATATATATATAAGTGTACATATGTATATATATATGTAAAACATTGGGGAGTTTATACATGTATTTATCTGTAAAGTTGGTAACTCTGTGATATAAATAACATAAATTTAATTAATATGTACAGGGATATATAGTCATTGACAGTAAAGCAATATCGTAAAATAATAAAGTTCTTCTCCCTGTAATCACAAATATTATAACTTGCCTAGTTGATGATTTGAAGTCCTTTTCCACTTTTGAGTCAATTACACATTAGTATATAGTATATTTGATAACTTTAGTAATACATTCATTTCATATATATTCCACTCGTGAAAAGCATTTATTTTCAGCTCTTCTGTGAAATAGAATTTGAATTCAATAATATACACAGTGAATTGTAACTGCAAGTGCAGTCCATTTTCCAATATATACATTTATACATTTAACAGTGTGTGAACTAATCTGGAAATGACAAATATGCATCAAATAGTGAGGCTCAGTATGAATGGAGACAACTGTAATTAAATGTCTCCATATCTGGCCCGGATAGTCATCTAGGTGTGATCCCATTCTCCTGTTATGTAATATGCTGCTTGATCAGGTGTAATTAAATACTAAACAGTCACCTTAACACCTACATAGTGTATGGTCTATTTCCTGACCGTACTCCTTTATCTATCAATAGGAATTTGTGACTGAACAAAAGATATTGAGAGGGGATACATATACTATAGGGGATACTTTTATGATGTGAGATACAAATATCATATGACAACTGTTTTACCCATTATCTTATAATGTATTAATTAATCTGTGGTTACTGTTTGTAACACTCTCTATGTTTACTACTCAGTAGTTCAAAAGGTATTTATTGTCCTTTAATTAATTCACAAACACTCTATGTTAGTGACACGCTCGAACATTTAACGAAATTAAGTCAATATGTCCGACTTTTGAGATGCCTATATGTGTTACTATTGTATGTGGAATGCCCAAGGAAATTAACATCAAAAGTGACCTCCAGCTTTCATATATCGAAGATCCCACCTCGTTCGAACTGATTTCAAATCATGGGGTTAACGTTATATATGCCTACTCCTCAGTGACACACGTACGTATATGCACACGGATCTGCTGTCATAGATTCACATGTTTGTAAACACTCCCTATCCACTCGATGGCTTTTGCACACGGCCCCATCTTTTCATTCACGGTTATTTGGATTATTAGTTATTTTGCACACGGCCTCTAACTTTGCACACGAAATAAACATTACGCACGTGTCGTCGCACAAGACCTTAATATCACATGTTGTATTTATAGAGCATCACGATTTATATATTCATTTTCAAAACAAACATCGCCACCATTTCACGTCAATTTTTTGGAAGGGAGTGTGAAGTAATCTAGAAATGACAAATATGCATAAAATAATGGTGCTAAGTATGAATGGAAACAAATGTAATTAAATACATTCCGTCAAGGAAACACCAGGGTAAATTTGTCTCCATTTCTGGCCCGGATAGTCATCTAGGTGTGATCCCTTTCTCCTGTTATGTATTATGTTGCTTGATCAGGTGTAATTAAATACTAAGCAGTCACCTTAACACCTAAATAGTGTATGGTCCATTTTCTGACTGGATTCCTTTATCTATCATTAGAAATTTGTGAATAAACAAGAGATATTGAGGGGGATACAAATTATATAGGGGATACTTTTATGATGTGAGAGATACAAATATGATATGATGCCAGTTTTACCCATTATATAATAATGTATTAATTACTTTGATCTGTGGTTACTGTTTGTAACACTCTCTGTGTTTACTACTCAGTAGTTCAAAAGGTATTTATTGTCTATCAATTCACAAACACTCAATGTTAATGGCACGCTCTAACTGTTAACGAAATTAGGTCAATATGTCCGACTGCTCCAGTAGAATCCTACTAGATAATGTGAAAAGGTCATACGAGGATCCGTATTTTAATCGAAAAAGAGCGAGTTAATTTCGTGGAGTTCGATTTTGAGATGCGTATATATGTTACTATTGTATATGGAAAAACCAAGGAAATTAACATCTCAAGAGATCCCAAGCTTCCGTATAGCAAATATCCCACCTCGTTTGAACTGATTTCAAATCATGGGGTTAAAGTTATATATACCTATCCCTTGACACACGTACGTAGGGATCCAGGAATTATGTCCATTCCCTGTGAACGTTTCCGGGAGTATATATTTGCACACGGCTCTGCTGTCATAGATTCCCATTTTATGTAAACACGTCCTTTGCACTCGACGGCTTTGCACACGGCCCCATCTTTTCATTCACGGTTTATTGGAATGTGAGTTATTTTGCACACGGCCTCTAACTTTGCACACGTGTCGTCTGCACACGAATGTGATGTCCCATGTTGTATAAATAGAGCATCACGATTCAGATATCCATATTCAAAACAAACTTCGCCACCATTTTACGTCTATTTTTTGGAGGGGACTTTTATCTCGTGATTACAAGATGTCTGAAGGTAAGTTACGTCTTTAAAAAATAGAATACACCACATGCCTGACTGTGCCACACGATCTGGGTGTGTAGAGATTGTAAATATATTTCATTGCATCATTAATTTCCAAATCTATTTAATTTGAAGTAAACTTAAAACAAAACCTGACCAATAGTTTAATTTTTGCTATTATACAAGCTTTGACCGTCAATCAGAAATTTACGCATGTACGTGGGATCCCAGGTCTGGTAGGTCGTAGTAATGTGAGATAGATGGTAGTATTTTGTTAAGATCAAAAAGATGAAAAAAAAATCTGAAATCTCGGATACGATGATACCGGATATTCCAAATTAAACTGGTGTGTTCTGTCGAGGACCTGTTTGATTGATAAACATAAATATTGATATTAAATAAGACAATGTATGTTAATAACCGGATACTAGCTATCTGATGCTAGAGTGATAAAAGTTAAATGTATTAAAACGTCACACAAAATAATTATTGGACAGGCGGCATTAAAAAATCCCGTGTGGAAGATACAGATGATATGTAACTACTTAATGAAAATTGAGCGCGTTAATATAAAGTTCTATTGAAATGGACAGAGTAAGAAAGATTTGAAACGCCATTGAAGTTTTTCTTAGCCTGCTTCACTGAAAGAAATAATCAGACGTACTCTTAATTACACTTATTTACTATGTTCGTCCATGTTTATTTACTGTTAGGTGCCGCCATCTGTCAAATTGATGAATGCAGGATGTTGACTTGTTGCGATATTGGAGCAACTTGCAGTTGTGATGGTGAATGCCAGTGTCCCAAATGTGGAGTTCAATGCTCCTGCGTCGGTAAGTTTAATTCATTGTTGCATTTAGATGTTTTTTTGTTTTTTTTTGTTTCTTTTCCATGAATGACACGTTTATTTCCTAATGCCGCTCTTAACAATACCCTACTTTTAACTACTAAGTACATGTATCTGTCCACGTTATTACAGTTACTTTTGGTTCCGTATCTAAACAAAATCTATGATGCTTAATAACATAATATTATTGAATGCATATGGGATGAATAAGGAAAGGTTACTCCGTTGTCAGTATGTGACCAGGTTGTCGGAGTATTGTTATTAGATATGATATTTTAGTGGGATGACACTTAAAGATAATCCTTTAGTGACCTCCATTATCATTCTACACATCTTTATATGAAACTTAAACCTTAAATTTAACATTCGGAAATGCTTGGCATGGATTCCTTTCTTTAAAAGATCAGGGATAATTTTACCCCCGCCACACTTATTTCTACCCCAACCTGTATTTTGAACTTGTTACCTTTTGCATAACGTCTTTCAATATCTTATATCTTTTGCAATGTATTATTGTAGGTTCATGCAAATGTGGAGTAGGATGCAACGGACCATCATCGTGCAAATGTGACGTTGGCCCGTGCTCATGTAGACCGGCCAAATCTAACGAATAGTTGGAGAGCCGTCACCAATGGACGTTTTTTTGATTATCTTATTCCAGCGTTTGGGACTGAGTTCATTTCTTCATGTTATTGACTTTTGACATCACATTGATCACAATATAATACATCCATCTTTGAACCTCCAAAGCAAGAACTTGAAATCACGGACACACTCATCGAAATATGATGATTTTATATGATTCTCCAAAATCAAGAGCTGGTTTTCCCGAATACAGCAACTCGAATATCATATCAAGTCAATTTTTGAATGTTCAAAGCAAGAGCTTAGTCTCTCTGATAGCTGAAACTATGTTAATGAGAAAACACTGGAACAATTCCTAACACAATTGGTCATTTTGACGTTTTGTATACTTGTTGTAAATATGTGAAAAACATAGTTTTTATAAATATGTTATAAACATTGTTGTTGTTAATATGCAATAAACATTTTTTAATTGATGTGTTTTTGTGTGTTAGTAAGTCGGCCATAAGTTGGTCTGCTGGAGGAAGGATAGTGATCCTTGATCAGCGAACATATCATTAAAGGTTTTTTAAGGTTAACAACTGGTCCACAAGACTTCTCGTCTTCCATCCATTTACCAAACAATAGGAAATTAAATGTTAAACTGTTTTTATGGATTTTCTCTAGATTGGTCCTTTTAAATATAAATGAGGACAATATTATCCTTTTTTTGGTGACATCGAATACGTTTTTTGTTAGAAATTTTTTACAGACTTTGTTAGAAGTCGTTAATTCTTCAGAAAATATATATGAGAAATATTAAGCGTTTTTAAAAGTCATCTAAAACATGCATTTTTATAGAAATAGTTGAGAAAATTCGCCTAAGTTAGAAAACATGGTTTCGAAGTTTTGAATTAACTAACATACTTCATAATACTAGCGACAAACTAGTGGAAAAGGGGAACAAAACTGCGAAAGTTGGCGATAAAATGAGGAAGAAACCAACACTTCAGCATCAATTTTTTTATGTTAATAAAACAAATCGCCATCTTGAAAAAAGCGTCGTTTTTATTAAAAAAAAATGGTTTCGAAATTCGCTTTTAAGAAAATATAAGATTTTAAGCGATTGAAAAATAAACGTTAAGATGTATCGTAGAGAGTAGTTATTTCCGTTTTTTACGCTGAAATTGCTGACGTCAAGCCGACCACACCCACCTGGTGGTGAAGTATATGGGGTATGGTGACTTGTGAAAATTGAACCGACGTCTCCTTCAGCATCGTTTTAAAGACAAGGGCACGTGATATTGGATTACACAATTGATCAATAGGTAATAAGACTCAAATGAGACTATAATTTTGTCATTATTGTCAATCGAGACAACGTAAGTCACGCTTACTTTTCAGGCCTTGATCTGTTTATACATCAATTCGTTGTTCGTTTATATCGCATATCAGATCATTGTCCCTAGATACTATTCTTGTGACCATAAGAAATATATCCCTCCCCCACCTCCAGAAGATATTTCAGATAACTGTCCCCTAGATACTGTTCTGATCACCATCAGAAATATATACCCCCTCCAGATCTTTCAGATACTTGTCCCCTAGATACTATTATGATGAACATCAGACATCTATTCCCCCTAAATATGTATCAGATAACTGTCCCCTTTAAATGAATAAAGATGTATACCAAAGTGTTATTCTGAAAGAAATAATCAGACGTTCTCTTAATTACAATTATTTACTATATTCGTCCATGTTTATTTACTGTTAGGTGCCGCCATCTGTCAAATTGAAGAATGCAGGAACATGACTTGTTGCGATATTGGAACAACTTGCAGTTGATCATTGTCCCCTAGATACTATTCTTGTGACCATCAGAAATATATACCCCCTCCAGATATTTCAGATACTTGTGCCCTAGATACTTTTATGATGATCATCAGAAATTTATCCCCCCTAAATATGTATCAGATAACTGTCCCCTAGATAGCATTCTGATTACCCAATTAATTTTGTCTCCATATCTGGCCTAGACATTCATCCAGGTGTGATCCCATTCTCCTGTTATGTAATATGCTGCTTGACCAGGTGTAATTAAATACTAAACAGTCACCTTAACACCTATATGGTGTATTGTCCATTTCCTGACTGGACTCCTTTATCTATCATTAGAAATTTGTGACTCAACAAAAGATATTTAATATATATAATATATAATTAATTCAAAAACACTCAATGTTTGAACTGATTTCAAATAATGGGGTTAAAGTTATATATGCCTACCCCTTGACACACGTACGTACAGATCCTGGAATTATGTCAATTCCATGTGAACGTTTCCGGGAGTTTATATATGTACACGGATCTGCTGTCTTAGATTCACATGTTATGTAAACACGTCCTATGCACACGACGGCTTATGCACACGGTCCCATCTTTTCATTCACGGGTTATTGGGATGCGAGTTGTTTTGCACACGGCCTCTAAATTTGCACACGATGTGAACATTGCCTACGTATCGTCGCACATGACCTTAATATCACATGTTGTATTTATAGAGCATCACGATTTATATATTCATTTTCAAAACAAACTTCGCAACCATCTCACGATCAGGTGTAATTAAATACTAAACAGTCACCTTAACACCTACATAGTGTATGGTCCCTTCCCTGACTGGACTCATTTATTTATCATTAGAAAGTTGTGACTGAACAAAAGATGTTGAGGGGGGACACAGATACTATAGGGTGATACTTTTATGATGTGAGAGATACAAATATGATATGATGCCAGTTTTCCCCATTATCTTATAATGTATCAATTACTTTGATCTGTGGTTACTGTTTGTAACACTCTCTGTGTTTACTACTCAGTAGATCAAAAGGTATTTATTGTCTATCAATTCACAAACACTCAATGTTAATGGCACGCTCTAACTGTTAACGAAATTAGGTCAATATGTCCGACTGCTCCAGTAGAATCCTACTAGATAATGTGAAAAGGTCATACGAGGATCCGTATTTTAATCGAAAAAGAGCGAGTTAATTTCGTGGAGTTCGATTTTGAGATGCGTATATATGTTACTATTGTATATGGAAAAACCAAGGAAATTAACATCTCAAGAGATCCCAAGCTTCCGTATAGCAAATATCCCACCTCGTTTGAACTGATTTCAAATCATGGGGTTAAAGTTATATATACCTATCCCTTGACACACGTACGTAGGGATCCAGGAATTATGTCCATTCCCTGTGAACGTTTCCGGGAGTATATATTTGCACACGGCTCTGCTGTCATAGATTCCCATTTTATGTAAACACGTCCTTTGCACTCGACGGCTTTGCACACGGCCCCATCTTTTCATTCACGGTTTATTGGAATGTGAGTTATTTTGCACACGGCCTCTAACTTTGCACACGGCCTCTAACTTTGTACACGTGTCGTCTGCTCACGAATGTGATGTCCCATGTTGTATAAATAGAGCATCACGATTCAGATATCCATATTCAAAACAAACTTCGCCACCATTTTACGTCTATTTTTTGGAGGGGACTTTTATCTCGTGATTACAAGATGTCTGAAGGTAAGTTACGTCTTTAAAAAATAGAATACACCACATGCCTGACTGTGCCACACGATCTGGGTGTGTAGAGATTGTAAATATATTTCATTGCATCATTAATTTCCAAATCTATTTAATTTGAAGTAAACTTAAAACAAAACCTGACCAATAGTTTAATTTTTGCTATTATACAAGCTTTGACCGTCAATCAGAAATTTACGCATGTACGTGGGATCCCAGGTCTGGTAGGTCGTAGTAATGTGAGATAGATGGTAGTATTTTGTTAAGATCAAAAAGATGAAAAAAAAATCTGAAATCTCGGATACGATGATACCGGATATTCCAAATTAAACTGGTGTGTTCTGTCGAGGACCTGTTTGATTGATAAACATAAATATTGATATTAAATAAGACAATGTATGTTAATAACCGGATACTAGCTATCTGATGCTAGAGTGATAAAAGTTAAATGTATTAAAACGTCACACAAAATAATTATTGGACAGGCGGCATTAAAAAATCCCGTGTGGAAGATACAGATGATATGTAACTACTTAATGAAAATTGAGCGCGTTAATATAAAGTTCTATTGAAATGGACAGAGTAAGAAAGATTTGAAACGCCATTGAAGTTTTTCTTAGCCTGCTTCACTGAAAGAAATAATCAGACGTACTCTTAATTACACTTATTTACTATGTTCGTCCATGTTTATTTACTGTTAGGTGCCGCCATCTGTCAAATTGATGAATGCAGGATGTTGACTTGTTGCGATATTGGAGCAACTTGCAGTTGTGATGGTGAATGCCAGTGTCCCAAATGTGGAGTTCAATGCTCCTGCGTCGGTAAGTTTAATTCATTGTTGCATTTAGATGTTTTTTTTTTTTTTTTTTTGTTTCTTTTCCATGAATGACACGTTTATTTCCTAATGCCGCTCTTAACAATACCCTACTTTTAACTACTAAGTACATGTATCTGTCCACGTTATTACAGTTACTTTTGGTTCCGTATCTAAACAAAATCTATGATGCTTAATAACATAATATTATTGAATGCATATGGGATGAATAAGGAAAGGTTACTCCGTTGTCAGTATGTGACCAGGTTGTCGGAGTATTGTTATTAGATATGATATTTTAGTGGGATGACACTTAAAGATAATCCTTTAGTGACCTCCATTATCATTCTACACATCTTTATATGAAACTTAAACCTTAAATTTAACATTCGGAAATGCTTGGCATGGATTCCTTTCTTTAAAAGATCAGGGATAATTTTACCCCCGCCACACTCATTTCTACCCCAACCTGTATTTTGAACTTGTTACCTTTTGCATAACGTCTTTCAATATCTTATATCTTTTGCAATGTATTATTGTAGGTTCATGCAAATGTGGAGTAGGATGCAACGGACCATCATCGTGCAAATGTGACGTTGGCCCGTGCTCATGTAGACCAGCCAAATCTAACGAATAGTTGGAGAGCCGTCACCAATGGACGTTTTTTTGATTATCTTATTCCAGCGTTTGGGACTGAGTTCATTTCTTCATGTTATTGACTTTTGACATCACATTGATCACAATATAATACATCCATCTTTGAACCTCCAAAGCAAGAACTTGAAATCACGGACACACTCATCGAAATATGATGATTTTATATGATTCTCCAAAATCAAGAGCTGGTTTTCCCGAATACAGCAACTCGAATATCATATCAAGTCAATTTTTGAATGTTCAAAGCAAGAGCTTAGTCTCTCTGATAGCTGAAACTATGTTAATAAGAAAACACTGGAACAATCCCTAACACAATTGGTCATTTTGACGTTTTGTATACTTGTTGTAAATATGTGAAAAACATAGTTTTTATAAATATGTTATAAACATTGTTGTTGTTAATATGCAATAAACATTTTTTAATTGATGTGTTTTTGTGTGTTAGTAAGTCGGCCATAAGTTGGTCTGCTGGAGGAAGGATAGTGATCCTTGATCAGCGAACATATCATTAAAGGTTTTTTAAGGTTAACAACTGGTCCACAAGACTTCTCGTCTTCCATCCATTTACCAAACAATAGGAAATTAAATGTTAAACTGTTTTTATGGATTTTCTCTAGATTGGTCCTTTTAAATATAAATGAGGACAATATTATCCTTTTTTTGGTGACATCGAATACGTTTTTTGTTAGAAATTTTTTACAGACTTTGTTAGAAGTCGTTCATTCTTCAGAAAATATATATGAGAAATATTAAGCGTTTTTAAAAGTCATCTAAAACATGCATTTTTATAGAAATAGTTGAGAAAATTCGCCTAAGTTAGAAAACATGGTTTCGAAGTTTTGAATTAACTAACATACTTCATAATACTAGCGACAAACTAGTGGAAAAGGGGAACAAAACTGCGAAAGTTGGCGATAAAATGAGGAAGAAACCAACACTTCAGCATCAATTTTTTTATGTTAATAAAACAAATCGCCATCTTGAAAAAAGCGTCGTTTTTATTAAAAAAAAATGGTTTCGAAATTCGCTTTTAAGAAAATATAAGATTCTAAGCGATTGAAAAATAAACGTTAAGATGTATCGTAGAGAGTAGTTATTTCCGTTTTTTACGCTGAAATTGCTGACGTCAAGCCGACCACACCCACCTGGTGGTGAAGTATATGGGGTATGGTGACTTGTGAAAATTGAACCGACGTCTCCTTCAGCATCGTTTTAAAGACAAGGGCACGTGATATTGGATTACACAATTGATCAATAGGTAATAAGACTCAAATGAGACTATAATTTTGTCATTATTGTCAATCGAGACAACGTAAGTCACGCTTACTTTTCAGGCCTTGATCTGTTTATACATCAATTCGTTGTTCGTTTATATCGCATATCAGATCATTGTCCCTAGATACTATTCTTGTGATCATAAGAAATATATCCCTCCCCCACCTCCAGAAGATATTTCAGATAACTGTCCCCTAGATACTGTTCTGATCACCATCAGAAATATATACCCCCTCCAGATCTTTCAGATACTTGTCCCCTAGATACTATTATGATGAAAATCAGACATCTATTTCCCCTAAATATGTATCAGATAACTGTCCCCTTTAAATGAATAAAGATGTATACCAAAGTGTTATTCTGAAAGAAATAATCAGACGTTCTCTTAATTACATTTATTTACTATGTTCGTCCATGTTTATTTACTGTTAGGTTTCGCCATCTGTCAAATTGAAGAATGCAGGAACATGACTTGTTGCGATATTGGAACAACTTGCAGTTGATCATTGTCCCCTAGATACTATTCTTGTGACCATCAGAAATATATACCCCCTCCAGATATTTCAGATACTTGTGCCCTAGATACTATTATGATGATCATCAGAAATTTATCCCCCCTAAATATGTATCAGATAACTGTCCCCTAGATAGCATTCTGATTACCCAATTAATTTTGTCTCCATATCTGGCCTAGACATTCATCCAGGTGTGATCCCATTCTCCTGTTATGTAATATGCTGCTTGACCAGGTGTAATTAAATACTAAACAGTCACCTTAACACCTATATGGTGTATTGTCCATTTCCTGACTGGACTCCTTTATCTATCAATAGAAATTTGTGACTCAACAAAAGATATTTAATATATATAATATATAATTAATTCAAAAACACTCAATGTTTGAACTGATTTCAAATAATGGGGTTAAAGTTATATATGCCTACCCCTTGACACACGTACGTACAGATCCTGGAATTATGTCAATTCCATGTGAACGTTTCCGGGAGTTTATATATGTACACGGATCTGCTGTCTTAGATTCACATGTTATGTAAACACGTCCTATGCACACGACGGCTTATGCACACGGTCCCATCTTTTCATTCACGGGTTATTGGGATGCGAGTTGTTTTGCACACGGCCTCTAAATTTGCACACGATGTGAACATTGCCTACGTATCGTCGCACATGACCTTAATATCACATGTTGTATTTATAGAGCATCACGATTTATATATTCATTTTCAAAACAAACTTCGCAACCATCTCACGATCAGGTGTAATTAAATACTAAACAGTCACCTTAACACCTACATAGTGTATGGTCCCTTCCCTGACTGGACTCATTTATTTATCAATAGAAAGTTGTGACTGAACAAAAGATGTTGAGGGGGGATACAGATACTATAGGGTGATACTTTTATGATGAGAGATACAAATATGATATGACACCGGTTTTCCCCATTATCTTATAATGTATCAATTACTTTGATCTGTGGTTACTGTTTGTAACACTCTCTGTGTTTACTACTTAGTAGATCAAAAGGTATTTATTGTCTATCAATTCATAAACACTCAATGTTAATGGCACGCTCTAACTGTTGACGAAATTAGGTCAATATGTCCGACTACTCCAGTAGAATCCTACTAGATAATGTGAAAAGGTCATACGAGGATACGTATTTTAATCGAAAAAGAGCAAGTTATTTTCGGGGAGTTCGATTTTGAGATATCTGTATGTGTTACTATTGTATGTGGAATCACCTAGGAAATTAACATCACAAGTGATCTCCAGCTTCCCTATAGTAAAGATCCCACCTCGTTTGAACTTATTTCAAATCATGGGGTTAAAGTTATATATGCCTACCCCTTGACATACGTACGAACAAATCTTTAATTATGTCCATTCCCTGTGAATGTTTCCGTGAGTATATATTTGAACACGGGTCTGCTGTCATAGATTCACATTTTATGTAAACGCGTTCTATGCATTCAACGGCTTATGCGCACGGTCCCATCTTTTTGTATTCAGGGTTTTTTGGAATGTGAGTTATTTTGCACACGGCCTCTAACTTCCCACACGAAGTAAACATTGCGCACGCATCGTCTGCACACGAACTTACTATCCCATGTTGTATCAATAGAGCACGATTAAGATATTTATATTCAAAACAAACATAGTGTATGGTCCATTTCCTGGATTATTTTATCTATCACTAGAAAGTTGTGACTCAACAAAAGATATTGAGGGGTATACAAATACTATAGGGTGATACTTTTATGATCTGGATACAAATATGATATGACACCGGTTTTACCCATTATCTTATAATGTATTAATTACTTTTCATGTAGTTACTGTTTGTAAAACTCTCTGTGTTTACTACTCAGTATTTCAAAAGGTATTTATTGTCAAGTAATTAATTCACAAACACTCAACGTTAGTGACACGCTCTATCTCTTAACGAAATTAGGTCAATATGTCCGACTACTCCAATAGAATGCTACTAGATAATGTGTAAAGATCATACGAGGATCCGTATTTTGATCGAAAAAGAGCGAGTTAATTTCGGGGAGTTTGATTTCGAGATGCCTATATGTGTTTTTATTGTATGTGGAATAACCAAGGAAATTAACATCACAAGTGATCCCCAGCTTCCTTATTTCGAAGATCCCACCTCGTTTGAACTGATTTCAAATCATGGGGTTAAAGTTATATATGCCTACCCCTTGACACACGTACGTACAGATCCTGGAATTATGTCCATTCCCTGTGAACGTTTCCGGGAGTTTATATATGTACACGGATCTGGGGTTATAGATTCACATATGTAAACACGTCCTATACACACGACGGCTTTTGCACACGGCCCTATCTTTTCATTCACGGGTTATTGGGATGCGAGTTGTTTTGCACACGGCCTCTAAATTTGCACACGAAGTAAACATTACGCACGTGTCGTCGCACAAGACCTGAATATCACATGTTGTATTTATAGAGCATCACGATTTATATATTCATTTTCTAATCAAACTTCGTCACCATTTCACGTCAATTTTTTGGAAGGGAGTGTGAAGTAATTTGGAAATGACAAATATGCATAATAATGGTGCTAAGTATGAATGGAAACAAATGTAATTAAATGCCTTCCGTCAAGGAAACACCCAGGTAAATTTGTCTCCATATCTGGTCCGGATAGTCATCTAGGTGTGATCCCATTCTCCTGTTATGTAATATGCTGCTTAATCAGGTGTAATTAAATACTAAACAGTCACCTTAACACCTACATAGTGTATGACCCATTTCCTGACTGGACTCCTTTATCTATCATTAGAAATTTGTGACTCAACAAAAGATATTGAGGGGGGGGGGGTACAAATAATATAAGGGGGTACTTTTATGATAGTTGTATATGCCTACCCCCTTGACACATTTACGTACAGATCGTTGAATTTTGTCCATTCCCTGTGAACGTTTCCGGGAGTTTATATATGTACACGGATCTGCTGTCATAGATTCACATTTTATGTAAACATGTCCTATGGACACGACGGCTTTTGCACACGGCCCCATCTTTTCATTCACGGTTTATTGGGATGTGAGTTGTTTTGCACACGGCCTCTAAATTTGCACACGATGTAAACATTACCTACGTATCGTCTGCACACGAATTTAACATCCCATAATGTATAAATAGAGCATCACGATTTAAATATTTATTTTCAAAACAAACTTCGTCACCATTTCACGTCAGTTTTTCGGAGGGGACTTTTATCTCGTGTTTACAAAATGTCTGAAGGTAAGTTACGTCTTAGAAAATAGAATACACTACCTGCCTGTGTCACACGATAAGGGCCTGTACGAGAACAGGTGTATAGAGATTGTAAATATGTTTCATTGCACCATTAATTACTAAATCTATTTAATTTGAAGTAAACTTAAAAGAAACCCTGACCAGTAGTTTAATTTTCGCTATTATACAAGCTTTGACCGTCAATCAGAAATTTACGCATGTACGTGGGATCCGAGGTCTGGTAGGTCGTAGTAATGTGAGATAGATGGTAGTATTTTGTTAAGATAAAAAGACAAATGATACTGAATATTTCAAATTAAACTGATGTGTTCTGTCGAGGACCTGTCTGATTGATAAACATAAAAATTGATATTAAATAACACAGCGGACGTTAATAACCGGGTACTAGCTATCTGATGCTAGAGTGATAAAAGTTACAAGGATGTGTCAAACTTGCCTGCCGTCAGTGTCCGTCTAGTTTAGATGTTCGGTGACCGGCACATAATTAAAATGTCAATAATGAAGGGTTATAGGCTTCAAAGGTTGCGTATATTAAAACGTCACACAAAATAATTATTGGACAAACGGTATTAAAGACACTGAGGATATGTAACTACTTAATGAAAATTGAGCGCGTTAATATACAGTTCCATTGAAATGGACAGAGCAAGAAAGATTTGAAACGCCATTGAAGTTTTTCTTAGCCCATTTCACTGATTTTCACGATGGTGATAACGTGCTGGTTCCTGAAAAGATTACGGACTACATCATGAATAGTGTTGTCATGACATTTACGGTGGGAAATCGGTATGTGGTGACCGCAGTCCTTCAGTTGGTGTCGGTTTCAAAGCGATATCTTTGTGACAACTTAATACATTGTTTCGTTTAAATGAATAAAGATGGATACCAAAGTGTTATTCTGAAAGAAATACTCAGACGTACTCTTAACTACACTTATTTACTATGTTCGTCCATGTTTATTTACTGTTAGGTGCCGCCATCTGTCAAATTGAAGAATGTAGGAACATGACTTGTTGCGATAATGGAGCATGCAGTTGTGATGGTACATGCCAGTGCCCGAAATGTGGAATTCAATGCTCCTGCGTCGGTAAGTTTAATTCATTGTTGCATTTAGATGTGCTTTTTATGTTTCTTTTCCATGAATGACCCGTTTATTTCCTAATGCCACTCTTAACGATACCCCACTTTTAACTATTAAGTACATGTATCTGTCCACGTTATTACAGTTGCTTTTGGTTCCGTCTCTAAACATAATTTATGATGCTTTATAGCATACTGTTTTTGAATGCTGGTTATCCCGCTGTCAGTATGTGTCATGTGATATCTCATTGTGATGACATTTAAAGGTCATCCTTCAGTGACCTCCATTATCATTGGACGTGACCCCATTATCGTTAGACATATCTTTGTATGAAATTTGAAACAGTCTAGGATAAGATTAGACGGCATCATATCAAAAAGTTGTAATATTGTTATCAGCATTTGAAAGTTCCTATTCCAAAGTAGCATTGACGTTTTGTCATGGTATCGAACTATTACTTATAGGCTGAATTTTAAATTTAAAATTCGAAAATGCTTGGCATGGATTCCTTTCTTTACAAGATCATTGAATATTTACCACATTCTTTTTTACCTCGACATATATTTTGAACTTGTTACATTTTTCATTATGTCTTTCCATATCTAATATTTTTTGCAATGTAATATTGTAGGTTCATGCAAATGTGGAGTAGGATGCAACGGGCCATCATCATGTAAATGTGAGGTTGGCCCGTGCTCATGTAGACCGGCCAAATCTAACGAATAGTCGGAGAGCCGTCACCAATGGACGTTTTTGTGGTTATCTTATTCCAGCGTTTGGGACTGAGTTCATTTCTTCATGTTATTGATATTACATTGATCAGAATATAATACAAATATCCACCTTTAAACCTCCAAAGCAAGACCTTGATGTCGCGGACACACTCATCGAAATATAATGTCTTTATTTGATTCTTCAAAATCAAGAACTGGTTGTCCCGGATACAACGACTCAAATATCATATCAAGTCAATCTTTGAATGTCCAACGCAAGAGCTTAATCTCTCTGATAACTGAAATTAACTAAATAAGAAACACTGGAACAATCCCTGACAAAATTGGTTATTTTGACGTTTTGTATAGTTGTAAATATGTTATAAACATAGTTGTTGTAAATATGTTATAAACATAGTTGTTGAAAATATGTTATAAACATTGTTGTTGTTAATATGTAATAAACGTTTCTTAATTGATTTTTCTTTTTGTGTGTGTTAGTAAATCAATCATTAGTTGGTAAACTGGAAGAATGTCATTAAAGGGTTTTTTTAAGGTTAACAATTGGTCCACAAGAATTCTCGTGTTCCATCCATTTTCCAAACATTTGAAAATTAAGTGTTAAAGTTGAAGGATTTTCTCTAGATTGGTCCTTGTAAATATATCATCAGTTTTTAGTAACGTCGAAAAACGTTTTTCTGTTCGAAATTCGCCTTCGAAAGGAAAAAATAGTGTCTGAATGCGCCCCTTAAGAGACTTTGTTAAAAGTCGTTTATTCTTTCAGAAAATAAACATGAGGAATATCAAGGATTTTTAAAACAGTCGTCTAAAACATGCTTCTTTAGAAAACATGGTTCCAACATCCGGGTGTTTTTTTTTTTTTTTTTAAAGTGGTTAAACAAACGCCGTTGTAAGAATTAACCAAAATATATCATCATACTGGCGACAAACTAGCGAAAATGGGAACAAAATTGGCGATAAAATGAGGGAGAAACCAACACGTTGTATATGTCGATGTGAAAACGTCGTTAGGCAGTCTATCTGTTTTTTTACACCGGTATTTTATTTTTTCATGTTCGCCTGAACACGCTAATTTACTAATATTACTCTGGGAGTAGAGATACTACCAGGCAATTACAAACTGACTAATATTATAGGAGAGTTGATCCGTATTGATGTTTGGACGTTACAGGGTATGTTTACTTAAAAGAAATATCAAAACGTGTATAGAGGTTTGGAATGTATCCATTTAAAGGGGACTACCAAGGATGATATGCTTTTATGAAAAAGTTTTAGAAAGAACTTAAATAACAAAAACACCTTGTTAAATATAGCCATTATATCGCAAGTACATCGGCTTCAATCAGTTGCCATATTCAAGATAAAGTTAGCAAATGAAAACATTTATCGAGTTTGAACAGTTAAAGTAGTTTCAAACGACAATACCAGCAACACGGTATGTCTGCCTGAGATACAATGAAATGATTTTTCGTTCCTTTATATTCATTAATGAATGTCATTGTTAACCTTGCAACGTCCACAAGAAGTTTGATGCGCCAATCTGCATGAGCAATTCAAATAACACAGTAATATACTGGAATCGATGCGTTATAAGTTCTATATTGAATATCAGATACCATTATATACTGCTATTTACATATTCTTTTGTGGGGCGGTTAAAGTTTGAATGATAGTGAGAAAATTAAAACAAATTCATATCAGAAAAGATTTCAAAAATATATTAACGTAATCTATTTAGTATTCTTTGTTCTGCACAAAGATATTAATTAAGCTATATTTGTTTCGCTATTCTGTCCATCTTTTTAATTTCCAAATACCCCAATCAAGTTACCGCAATGGAGAGGAATTCATTAGAGGAAAGTATAACAACTTTCAATATAAATTAGAATTAGATACAGGATAGTCAAACTATATAGTAAACTGTATCATACAGCTGTGGGGCTTAGCTGTAATATAGTTGATTAAAACCATTAAGGAGGCGACAAAGGAAAACTGACCAAAATCAATGTCAAAAGATAATATAATCAAATCATTGTCAATGCTGGGTGAATTTAAAATTAATGGCCAAACATACCATGGCAAAAAAGAGTGCATCTTACTTTCCGATCCTAATTAGCTTTGAAACAAAACCTGATATGAGTTCATACCTGAAATAAAATACAATAAACATGCACTTATTCAGATTTCAAACTGCCCGAATAATTCTCGTCGCCTGCTGTACATTTTGATCAGTTTTTGAGAATGTGCGAATGTGGATCAATATTCTATCCGTATATGTTAATACAATAAATAAATATGCATATTTATAGATGAATGTTTCATTTTAGTCATGTGACCTCAATAGGTCTGTAAGCACTGCTTCAATTAGAGTGATGCGATTTGGAATACAAATAAAGTCAAGCAGAAATTAACTTTTACCTATCATTTTGGTAAATGACCAGATATTCAAACATAATCTTAAACACGTTTTCTAAAAATTACAAATTGTATAAAATGAAGTAATGAAATAAAGTTTTATAAAATGATTTTATCATTGTTTTGTAATATATTCATTATAAATGTCTAATACAAGAAATTATAATAAAAGGAATGTTTACACATCACATAAATCGTTCTATATAAATACACTTGTTTGAAAGTACAGAGAAATTAGACTATGACCCTCGGTTATATTAGTCTTTTTCAGTTTTAAGATCTTATGATGTATAGTGTGTACTTCAATTCCCACTTGAAAAGTAAACCGTGTGGTACAATAAACTTCATTAGTCTTGTGTAGGAATATTGCTACCAAGTGTGCTATTTACATTTGTATATAGAAGTCTTACTGGTGTATCAAATTAACTTGAACACAAGGTTAATATTTAGTGGAACACATTTGTCTGAACAGTGTGGGAACTGACCCATGTAGAACAATTGGCGTTACGGCTGTCTACCCTTTTTGTGTTAGTACACTACTCGGCGACATTAAGGACACACGATCAATGACTGACTTCAGAGACATAATTTCCTGTGAGTAATTCAACCTACCTTAGGATTTTTATATTAGGACATTAACGATTGGAAATTGTTTCTTGATTTCGTTATTCATACTTATGTATATATTTGTTGTTGAGTTACGTAATTTCAATGCCAATTATTCTTGTGTTACTTAAAAGCCCTGGCATGTTTGTTTACATTATGACTTCGCTTACAATATAGGTAAGTTAACAAATCGGCATATTAAATGTCAACAAAAGATATTTTAAAAACACACATACCATTTGGGCAAAACATTCTGGAGACGTTCTGTAAGACCGATTACGAAAAAGCTTTTGGATATTTCTAAATTCGTCTTTGAAATCCTAAAATAGAGTCTGCTTAAAACGTTACGATGGATATCAGCCTATTGGTTGTTTCACTTACTTTAGTTTTTCCAGTATTGCATTTTTTTTCTTTTTCCAGGGTAGCTTTTAAAGAAGAAAATAAAATGAAACTTTTGAAAGTGATGACAAGCTTATGCCTATTAACGGCATTAGTAATCATCTTTTGGATGAAGTTAGAGAACAATAATGCCGCGCATGCACGTCAGAACGAAGACTCCAACCGACACGATCATCACCAAAGTGTATCCAAAAATTGGCAGCAAACACAGCAAACATCGCATCTTGGTTTACAAACTCCGAAAAAGCATCAACAGCGCAGAGGCGATTTCTTCCATTCTTACACTCGAATGAATGTTACAGTGTACACTAAACAGTCACTCAATGGCAGTTGGACACTCGACCAGCCAATCTGCTGTAGCGTACCTGTATTCAGATCTGCCAAGTTAAGAACTAAAGCCGGTCCAGTTGATATCTATATTCATGATCCTAGGAAGGATACTTGGGTAAGTGCCGCTCTGACAAGGGTTGAAACATGGGAACAGAACACCACGGAACTGATCAGCAAAATTTTACAGGCAGAAGCAGATGCTGCTCTTCTGGATATTGGCGCCAACATCGGAGTGTATACACTAACTGCAGCAAAGCTTGGGTTCAAGGTCATAGCTGTCGAGCCTCTTAAAATAAACGTACAGAGGATATGTTCTTCTATTCATGCCGGGAACTTCACGAAAAATGTAACAATAGTACGAGGTGCACTATCAAATATTTTGCAGAAAGTCAATCTTGGAATCGTTGTTAACAATGTCGGCGGATCCTTTGTCCTACAGGGTAAAAACGCCAAGAAAGCCAAGTCAACTTTGGTGACGGGAAAATATCAAGATATCGTTTGGACTTCCAGGCTTGACGATATCTTACAACTTCCTGGAATCGATTTCAAAAAGATCATTATAAAAATGGATGTTGAAGGTTATGAGAACAAAGTTTTGAATGGCGGACAATGCTTTTTCGATCGAGTTAAGGTACCGGCAGTATTGATGGAATGGAATTATCATAAAAATTCTTTGAGTGGGAAAGACATATTAGACTTTTTCAAAAAAAGGAATTATACTGCGTATGATCCTATGAAAACTATGAAGTTAGACGTTACCTATTCGAACCAATGGCCAGCTGATATTATATGGATAAAAAATTGTAAAACATTCATGAGAGACGTTCGTGATCCAGTATCAGTGTAGTACTGAAGTTTGTTAACGTAGTACGATTTGAATACGTGCTTAGCTTGTCGATATAAATTTTGTTTACTGATTTGTTTATTTATATAAGTAGTTAAAATATATTGTTTTAAAATGAACGGACAACATTATGTCCAAATGTTACTGTGAAACGGTTTCTTCGGCTTGGTAGGTATATATTGAGAAGACAGTCATACATCACAACCAGGTAGAATATTAATGATAGATATTATACAATCACTTTTCTGATCGGAGTACCAGTCAAGAAAAGGTCACACATACACTTTCTAACTGATTTTGACACACAAACATCCTACAACGAAATCAACATGGACAGCTCTTCATCAAGCTGTATGAAAAACGTGATAATACCCTTGCATCTTCAACCTGTCGATTCCAAATTCAAGGTCCTATTTCCATTATCATATTGCAAGAAGTCGTCATCTGACTGACAAACTCGTAACACAAAGGTTCAAAAGATGCAGGTTGATGAATATTATTAGGATGTTTATTTGGTCGACAAAGTGATCCCGTTAATCATCATTTTAACAGTATTGCCAAATGTTAATTCTTAATGAGGCAATCATGCAGTTCTATTATTTCCCTTAAACTAATTACATCAGCAATTTCTCGATGTCATCATAGTCACTCTCTTGACCAAATATTACGAATGGGAAGCAACAGCCTGGCCATATCTTTTCTCTTTCATATCGATTTAACAGAAGTCGCCTGTCCTTAAACCTGATAATCTCTGCCTGTTTTCGGCCCTTCTTTGCTGTGGGAAGGAGATTAGCCCTGTCTGTGTCAGGAACCAAACTATATTCTAAAAATGTTTTGAGAATGGAAAACCTCCCAAGAAAGGCAGCAATGTCCCAAGTCATTGGTAAATTAGTGCAATTTCTTTGCAAAAATAGGACACGCCTTTTGCTCAAAAGAAGTGAAACTACAGAACAAGCGTCATCTATGCATGCATAATGGGCTACGTTGTAGGAATGGGTCGTGTTAATAATAACGTCAAGGTCATTCGGATCTGCAGCATCCATTTCCAGAATGCATTCTAGAGTTTTATAGTAATCATTGTTCCATAGAACACTGTTCTCGGCTGATATAGCCTTCATTATGTCCTGTGGTAATGGAGGTACAATGTTGCATCGTTCGTCATAGTCCAATGACTTCAACAACACCTGAAGGACAGAATCGTTATCTTTAGTCCTTTCTGTAATACAAAGGCCGTACTTGATAAGCTCGTGGAAAATTTGGTACTGACCGCCATGAGCAGCATAGTGTAATGCAGACAGATTCCGGGCATCCTTTGCCAACACAAACTCCACACCATGTGCCTTTATTTCACGAATTTTGTCGATATAGCCTCGCATTGCACAGTAGTGGATACATCGTCTTCCGGACGTGTCATTGAACGAAGAAGTACATATAATTTCGTTGCCGTATTCATTCCATAAGACGTCACATACTGGTCGGATACCTGTCCATATCGCAGTGTGTATCGGTAAAAGACCACATTTCGACCGATAGAGAACTTTTCTCTCTTTCTTAACAATACTTGATATTGTTTTGACGTGACCTTTCCTGATTGCTGTTGAGAGTATTTCCTCCCTGTAATACGTCATTGAAATATTTACCTTGTTGGTCGTGTTCGTGTTTGAACCGCAATAATCATCATCGAAGACATCACACAGCTGAAGAAGTTCGGACAGCAACTCGTGTTTTCCTTGCTCACTTGAACAAAGAAGCAATTTCATAATGACTTCGTTTAAATCAGTCGCATTCTTTAATTCGGTTTGAAGAGAATCGACAAAATTCTTGGTGAAGCCACTGTCCTCAAACACCTGTAACTGCATACACTGTTGATAGTTGTTTTTGCGAAGAACTTCGTCAATGAGTCTATAGGAAAGTGTGGTGAAGCAGCGTTCCTGAATCGTTACGACTACTTCGCCCTTTTTCCGTTCATATGTCCTACTCCTTAAGAAGTCCTTGATGAACTGAAGTTTGCAGCTCTGAAAAATCTTGTCAGGGAAATGCACGCTGAACGATATAAATACCGCTTCGTTGACCGTCTGATGACGAAATGTAACTGTGTTTTGGTCATGTACTCGTAGTAAACTTCGCACTGTGTCATCCTCCACGCAGTCAAGAAGCTCGCTATACGTGGCAGATTTCAGGTCGAGGTCAATAGTAATTTGTTGGAAGTTTGGACACTCGGCCACTGAAGTGAGATCCATAGTTTCGTCGACCAACATCATATACACAAGGACGGCGTACTGTAATCGGCAATGCTTATCTCCAGACTTTCTCAATTTGTCAACTTTTGAAATAAGCGATTTGTCAGGCCGTCTGAAGAACTCTTGTCCTAGTTTAAAAAAGTTTTCATTGGAGAAAAAAAGAAAGCAACTTTGGGGAAAACCTGTCAGTGGCTCAGTGATACAAATTTGATTGAAAGTTTTCTTATCCAGGCATCTTGAGGAATTCTTTGTAGAATCGTCCACATTTCCATAATGTATTGACACTCCATTTTCACAGCAATATTTCTCCAGCATTGCTTCCTTCTCCAGCAGCGACATACATGAAACATTTACAAGGTGGTCGTCACTAAACAGCATGTTGTGAAACACGTCCATGTCTTGGCGAAAATCTTCGTAGACGTTCTCGCGAAAAGCCAGTACAAAACGTGATCTACTTTGCCGAGATAATGTATGCATAGTTTTGAACATAGAGTACCATTTCAGTGCGTTTTCACGGGAGTATGCAGACCGGCCTAAAATGTCATCGAGAAAGATCAATACTTTATCTGAAGGACTGACGAATTTCAGCTGATCAGGGTTTGAAAGTATGATTGGTGTATATTCTTCGCGCCTGTGATACATAACTTCATACGCAATGGTTGTCTTTCCACTTCCGGCTATCCCACATAGCACAAGCACATGTTTTGTGTAAAAAACGTGAAAGGAATCCTGTAATTGTTGAGTTGCATGGAAGACGTTTTCTGGAGAAACGTGCTGTTCCAATGTCATATTGGTAAATTCTGAAAGGAAAAGCAAAAGGTTCAAAATCACTAAGAATCACTAAAAATAGATATTTTTATATAGCGTTATATTGTACCCGACCTGTATGTGTATTAAGTGATGAAAAATTGTTTTAAAAGCTAAATACGATAAACTTTAATTGATAAATTGAATTATAGTATATGTATATAAAAGATAAACAAATGTAGAAAACAGATACAAACCTATTTCCGACCGCAAACCAGATGTCAAGGTTGGCGATATAACTATTTCTGTAACATAAAACATGGGTTGATACCGTACAAAATCACTTTCTACAGACTTCAAAATCTTCTTGCTTATATTCAGAATATATATTAGTTCTTGCAAAAACCCAAGAATAAATACAATGATAAATTGACGATATATATATTTTTTTTGTAAAAGTCATAGTAAAATCTACGATATTGAAGCAACGGGGTCATTCTTCCGCCTTTTAACAGTGTGAAACGATGTTCTTAATATCATGAGTCAATCACAATTACAGTGGTGTCGGATACTGCATGTAATGGATGTAAAATCTATCACATTTACAAGTTATTATATTTAGTATGTCATAAAGTACTACTGAATATTTCTTGTCAAACAATATTAAATAGTTCCTAAGTTTTATCAACAGAAATATATCGTCGTTGTCGTCGTTGTCGTCGTCGTCTATAGGGTACAATTTGTATGTAAACTGACCTTTTCGTGTAAGCGCCTCTTGTGTTGGGTCTACCTGATGCAGGATACCTAAAGTAAAGTCAACACAGTGATATCGTATAGTTTTCGTTTAAAGGCATAATAATAAGTTTTGTAATCGTTTCATTTAGATTTTTTTACATGGGATTTCTTATAACTGTACTACAAATAGCTGTGTTGACACCCAATGAATTCTCTTAAATTGTTCATCTGCATACCTTTCAATTTTTTCCGTACTTGGTCTGGAAATTCTCGTAGATCTTCTAAGTTGATATTTCTCAGGTACTCATGGAGCTCGACATTCCTGGTCTCTCTCGTTTCTTTTGTGCATGCAAGCAAAACAAGAGATACTTCATGAAATAAAAAAATAAGTAAATAGATCATTAATCCTAATCTCGCTCCTTTCTCCCTTCTCATCATACAGTTCTTTCTCCCTTCTCATCATACAGTTCTTTCTCACCTCTCGTCATACATTCCTTTCTCTCCTCTCGACATACACTCCTTTCTATCCTCTCGTCATACATTCCTTTCTATCCTCTCGTTATACATTTCTTTCACTCCTTTCGTTATACATTCCTTTCTATCCTCTCGTCATACATTCCTTTCACTCATCTCGTCAACATTTCTTTCTCTCCTCTTGTCATACATTCCTTTCTCTCCTCTCGTCATACATTCCTTTCACTCTTCTCGTCATACATTCCTCTCTCTCCTCTCGTCATACATTCCTTTCTCTCCTCTCGTCATACATTCCTTTCTATCCTCTCGTCATACATTCCTTTCTCTCCTCTCGTCATACATTCCTTTCTCTCCTCTCGTCATACATTCCTTTCTATCCTCTCGTCATACATTCCTTTCTCTCCTCTCGTCATACATTCCTTTCTCTCCTCTCGTCATTCATTCCTTTCTATCCTCTCGTCATACATTCCTTTCTATCCTCTCGTCATACATTTCTTTCTCTCCTCTCGTTATACACTCCTTTCTCTCCTCTCGTCATACATTCCTTTCTCTCCTCTCGTCATACACTCCTTTCTATCCTCTCGTCATACATTCCTTTCTTCCTCTCTCCATTTCTTTCTCTCCTCTCGTCATACATTCCTTTCTCTCCTCTCGTCATTCATTCCTTTCTATCCTCTCGTCATACATTCCTTTCTATCCTCTCGTTATACACTCCTTTCTCTCCTCTCGTCATACATTCCTTTCTCTCCTCTCGTCATACATTTCTTTCACTCCTTTCGTTATACATTCCTTTCTATCCTCTCGTCATACATTCCTTTCTCAACATCCTCTCGTCATACATTTCTTTCTCTCCTTTCTCATACACTCCTTTCTTCATACATTCCTCTCTCTCCTCTCGTCATACATTCCTTTCTCTCCTCTCATCATACGTTCCTTTCTTTCTCGTCATACACTCCTCTCTCTCCTCTCGTCATACATTCCTTTCTCTCCTCTCGTCATACATTCCTTTCTCTCCTCTCGTCATACATTCCTTTCTCTCCTCTCGTCATACGTTCCTTTCTTCCTCTCGTCATACACTCCTCTCTCCTCTCGTCATACATTCCTCTCTCTCCTCTCGTCATACATTCCTCTCTCTCCTCTCTCCTCTCGTCATACATTCCTTTCTTCCTCTCGTCATACATCCTCTCTCCTCTCGTTATACACTCCTTTCTCTCCTCTCGTCATACATTCCTTTCTCTCCTCTCGTCATACATTCCTTTCTATCCTCTCGTTATACACTCCTTTCTCTCCTCTCGTCATACATTCCTTTCTCTCCTCTCGTCATACATTCCTTTCTCTCCTCTCGTCATACATTCCTTTCTCTCCTCTCGACATACACTCCTTTCTATCCTCTCGTCATACATTCCTTTCTATCCTCTCGTTATACATTTCTTTCTCTCCTCTCGTCATACATTCCTTTCTCTCCTCTCGACATACACTCCTTTCTATCCTCTCGTCATACATTCCTTTCTATCCTCTCGTCATACATTCCTTTCTATCCTCTCGTTATACATTTCTTTCACTCCTTTCGTTATACATTCCTTTCTATCCTCTCGTCATACATTCCTTTCTCTCCTCTCATCTCTTTACATCCTCTACGTCATACATTCCTTTCAAACAATACATTTCTTAACTCCTTTCGTTATACATTCTCTTACACAAATACATACATTCAATCCTCTCGTCATAAAAATCTCTCCTCTCGACATACAGGTTCCTTTCTCTCCTTCAGATACAGTTTCACCTCTCGTTATACATTTCTTTCAGCCTTTCGTTAAACCTTTGACGTCATACACCTTTCACTCATCTCTCTCTTTCCTCTTGTCATACATTCCTTTCTCTCCTCTCGTCATACATTCCTTTCACTCTCTCGTCATACATCCTCTCTCTCCTCTCGATCTTCCTTTCTCTCCTCTCATCATACGTTCCTTTCTTTTCGTTTCCTCTCTCTCCTGTCCTCTCTCTCCTCTCGTCATACCTTCATCTATCTATCTCTCTCCTCTCGTCATACATTCCTTTCACTCTTCTCGTCATACATTCCTCTCTCTCCTCTCGTCATACATTCCTTTCTCTCCTCTCATCATACGTTCCTTTCTTTCTCGTCATACACTCCTCTCTCTCCTCTCGTCATTCATTCAGATTTTTCTGTATGTGGAATAGTAGCTGCTCTCACTTAATTGGCAACTCGTTGAAATGTCCAGCTCAATGGGATTTTTGTTCTGCGTATAATTTGGAGCAGTTGATTAGAGTATGGTATGCAAATTGTCTGTTTCAAATACAAATGTCTTTATACGTGTTTAGAAATGTGAAATACCTGTGCTGGTCTGTGCATCTCGCGCATGCCAACTCTTTACATCCTATACGAGAAGAAAGCAAACAAAATGTAATAACACATATAGATAAACTCTTACACAAATACATACACAATAGAAAAAAAATAATTCTAGACTAAGGTTCTAGATATGTGAAATTTCAGAACAGTCACGCAGAATCCAGCTGGAAACTTTGACGATGAACGAACAACAAGGTGCTATAGATGTGTACAGCCTAAATCATGGGCCATTTACTACTATATTTGAACATCACGCGAAGCTATTATTGAGGGGAATCAAAGTGGCCCTATTTCGTTTTTGTAAAATGTAAATAGTAACTGCAAACTATTGAAGCCATCATATATGATATCATACTTACCAATTCCTTCGCGGTTGGTAAGCGTTGTAGTGACCATTTTGAACTTCCAAGCTCCAGCATCTGATGCCAAAGTGTTTCGAATAACTCTTTGTCAAACCTTTTCGCAATTTCATTGATGATATGTGTGATTTTCTGAAATCTTCTCTCAAACTCTTCTGTCGGCAACGTTGTCAGATTTCCATGAAGCACGCCATTTCTTTCGTCTCTCAACTTCTCAACCAGTATTTTATCGGTTTCATCCAGTTTTATAATATTAATAAGAAAACATGAAAGTAATGTTATATCCAAATCTAGTACAGCTATATCTGATTTCCTCTTGAAAACACAAATGCAGAACTGGTCTCTGTCTTCGTTCGGTCTTGTACAGGTCTGGTTTCTGTCTTCCAGGAAAAGCATCATTAGTTGTTTGTAGGTGAAAACAGATTTTCGTCTGGTAGGGTAAGAAGTGCATGCACAACAGTGTTTAAGTTTGTAAAGATGTATCAAGTCATGGCAGTAAACGTTCAACATATCCTGAAATGTTGTCGTAAGTTTTGAAAGCTCATTTTCCAGTTTCTTTCTTAGTACTTTAGTACCAAATTCCATCAGAAGAAAGAAAATTTTGAAAGAATGATCAAGTTCCTTTGTGTAATTCATTCTGAAACAGAAACACGTTGATATCAACTCTGTATGGTATACATAATTTGTCTTTCACATACGGTGTATTGAGAAAGAGAAGGTGTTCATTTTAGATTGTTATTTGTTGTGCAGTCAAAGAGTAAAGCAATATTCTTAGTCAAAAATTGCTTTACGGTGGTTTGTAGTTCAGTCAGCCATTAATTGTGGGAAATAACACTTGTCATACAGTAATACGGCTACTACAGCCTATAACGAGTGGTTGCACTACAAACACTGTGTCAGAAAAATAAGTTTAATATTAATCATTGATTTTTGTGAAATTATCAGCAAGTCTCCTACGACAAGTAGGAACGGATTCTTCTATAATTGAACAGATTAAGTAATAACATACCGTTATCTGTCTGTCTCGTGTAAACAGACGTCATATTTCTGTCTCGTGTAAACAGACGTTATCTGTCTGTCTCGTGTAAACAGACGTCATATTTCTGTCTCGTGTAAACAGACGTTATCTGTCTGTCTCGTGTAAACAGACGTCATATTTCTGTCTCGTGTAAACAGACGTTTTCTGTCTGTCTCGTTTAAAAAGACATTATATGTCCGTCGTGTGTAAACGGAGACGTCATATGTCTGTCCCGTGTAAACAGACGTCATATGTCTGTCTCATATAAACAGAGACGTTATCTGTCTGCCTTGTGTAAACATAGACGTTATATGTCTGTCTCGTGTAAACAGAGATATCATATGACTGCCGCGTGTAAACGGAGACGTCATATGTCTGTCGCGTGTAAACGGACGTTATTTGTCTGTCTCGTGTAAACAGACATTATCTGTCTGTCTCGTGTAAACCGAGACGTAATATATATGTCTAGTGTAAACAGAGACGTTACATGTCTGTCGTGTGTAAACGGAGACGTCATATGTCTGTCTCGTGTAAACAGAGACGTTATATGTCTGTCTCGTGTGAACAGACGTTATATGTCTGTCTCGTGTAAACAGACGTTATCTATCTGTCTCCTGTAAACAGACGTTATCTGTATGTCTCGTATAAACCGAGACGTAATATATCTGACTAGTGTAAACAGAGACGTTACATCTCTGTCGTGTGTAAACGGAGACGTTATATGTCTGTCTTAAGTAAACAGACGTCTCGTGTAAACAGACGTTATCCGTCTGTCTCGTGTAAACAGACGTTATATGTCTGCCTCGTGTAAACAGAGACGTTATATGTCTGTCTTAAGTAAACAGACGTCTCGTGTAAACAGACGTTATCCGTCTGTCTCGTGTAAACAGAGACATTATATGTCCGTCGCATGTACACGGAGACGTCATTTATCTGTCTCGTGTAAACAGACGTCATATGTCTGTCTCATGTAAACAGACACGTTATCTGTCTGCCTTGTGTAAATAGAGACGTTATATGTCTGTCTCGTGTAAACAAATATATTATATGTCTGTCGCGTATAAACCGAGACGTAATATGTTTGTCTCGTGTAAACAGAGACGTTATATGTTTGTCTCGTGTAAACAGAGACGTAATATGTCTGTCTCGTGTAAACAGAGACGTGAGATATCATTCTAGTGTAAACAGAGGCGTGAGATATCATTCTAGTGTAAACAGAGACACATGCTTACTACTGATCGATTGATACAAACCTGTTTCATTGTATAGATTTCCCCTAATTTCTATCTATACTCAAAAGCAATAAAAATCTGTCATCAAAGTTACCAAGTCTATGATGTAATGATAGATTCCGAGAGGTAGCCATTTTGATTCTGCGTGGTTATTATTGTGTGTGTGTGTGTGTGTTTGTGTTGGGGTATAGGTTGTGGGTAATTAGACCTTGGCAATGTAATGCGCGCGCAGTCAAGCTGAACTCTGGCAGTCCTCAAAACTATAAATACATATGTTATTGAAACCAGATAACCACAATCACACTTTCTTCCGCATGACTGTGGGTGCATATCGGTCAGTTGTTAAACTATTTCACAATGGTTACAATAGAGATAAGGAATGAAGCGACACGTAAAAACATATTTTTTCATTGCCGACCTAATTAATGAGCTAGATTGAACTGTTAATTGTAATATGTATATATACCACGTTTACTACCACACCAACAATAATGTATCTATTTACCGATATAATTGTTGACAGATCACTTTAAAAACTGTACTATGTTATAACCGAAAATCACGGATACGAACGAGCCACATTGTATTGCCTTGGTATCGGTATTGTGTTTGGACTGTATTCCCTTTTTATGATTTGTGTTTAGACGGTATGACCTTGGTTTTGTGTTTTGTGTTTGGACTGTATCTCTTTGGTTTTAGGTTTGATGTTTGGACTGCATTGCCTTTGTTTGGGTTTTTTTTGTGTTTGGACTGTATTACCTTGGTTTCCAATGCCTCCTCCGGGATTCCAACCCGGGTCCCCTGGCTTACTAGTTTGACGCCCAACCGACAAATCTAAAGAGAAGTTCTCCCTAGCCGAGCGGTACATTTAGGTGAGTTACATCCTCTGGTTTTCAGGGGTTATAGCGATGCTGGTGTGGCGTCGCTATGTGGCCTCCAATGTGGCAGAGTGTTATTGTATTGTGATGACAACAGGTCAGTTTTGTTTCCCCTTTCATCTTTTTTAAATCCTCAGATGAAATAATGTAATAGTCGTGTTTCCGGCCCGATCAACCACACAACTCAGGGTTCTCAATCATGTGTTTATTTATTGAAGGGATGAAATAAAACCCTAAAACAAGAAACATATTACATAGGATTAAAATAAAACTCCATAATTAACGCTTACACGTTCTGCCGTATAAACTATTACAAAATATTTTAAAAAGGTTAATTTTAACTGTTATCATAATTCTAATAATTCAAAAGAATTTAACAGTTCCACATCTGACAATGGATCAAATGAAATTTACAATCTACAATAAAACTACCTATCTCTTCTGTAAGAAGAGGGTTTCCACACCCAAGTGTTACGTACGACAAATATATAGTGGTACATATACTTGTCTTTCAACACTGTGTCCTTTCGAATACAAATAGAAATAGCCAATCACGTGACTCTTACACACGACACTCACTAGCATACACACTCACATGCGCGGGATAAACTTCAAACGGATCGACGCGGCAAACGGACGCGTATAACAATAGATGAAATATAAACATTATTGTGAATATAATAAAATACACGATAAAATCAACACTATCACAATAAAACGAATTAACAATGTAACAAATAGATAAAACATGCCACAAGTGTTTTCTAAAATACATCCATACACATATAGTCATTTAATCAAATTAACAATGTAAGGGAGACAACTCCTACAGAAATATAGGTAAAACTACCCGTACTTAACGATTCGATTACACAAATTGTCACAAATTGATATCACTTTGGAGAATTTATCATTTGATAAATAACCTTTATCGAAATCCCTTTATCAAATTTAATAACTTTACAAAAATACATATATCACAATAAGACGCCAGTACACATATTATACCATACCTATGTTTGGCAACAAGCCATTAATGAATCTTTTATACTAATTACTATTCTGACTTTCTGACGATTCGTCTGAAATTCAAACAATTGTAAAAGTTACTTAATTACAGTTTCTCACATCTCATGTTTGATCATAGCATTTCCCCGGTAAAATAAACAGTTCAACCTATTCAAAACTTTCCAAAAGGATGAAGATATTTGATATAATGAATTGTAATACAAAATCTAGCAAAACACTTACATTCACAAGGTACGTCCATCAGCTGTAGGACCACAAATGGTACTGACAAAACACCACCCGAGGCACAAAGTAACACAAGCGAAACTGACCAATGGAGCCAGTCAATCAAACCATATAGTCAACAGAGCTAGACTACGGGAACAGATAAATAACAACCACACCTTAGGACTCCATAATCATAAAACATGCCTTACGAGCACAAACACACATCTGTAGGAGTGGTATCACAACATGGTACATAATACAAGGGCGCGGCTGTTTTTACATGAACAAATGAATATATTAAGGCAAAATAAATTGTATAGTTTTACCCTGCTACATTTGTGTTTTGTGTTGGGACTGTATGACCTTGGTTTTGTGTTTTGTTGTGTGCGGACTGTATTGTCATGGTTTTGTGTTTTGTGTTGGGACTGTATTGTCACGGTTTTGTGTTTTGTGTTGGGACTGTATTGTCACGGTTTTGTGTTTTGTGTTTGGACTGTATTGTCACGGTTTTGTGTTTTGTGTTTTGTATTTGGACTGTATTGTCACGGTTTTGTGTTTTCTGTTTTGTGTTGGGACTGTATTGTCACGGTTTTGTGTTTTGTGTTGGGACTGTATTGTCACGGTTTTGTGTCTTGTGTTTGGACTGTATTGTCACGGTTTTGTGTTTTGTGTGTGGACTGTATTGTCACGGTTTTGTGTTTTGTGTTGGGACTGTATTGTCACGGTTTTGTGTTTTGTGTGTGGACTGTATTGTCACGGTTTTGTGTTTTGTGTGTGGACTGCATTGTCACGGTTTTGTGTTTTGTGTTTGGACTGTATTGTCACGGTTTTGTGTTTTGTATTTGGACTGTATTGTCACGGTTTTGTGTTTTGTGTGTGGACTGTATTGTCACGGTTTTGTGTTTTGTGTTGGGACTGTATTGTCACGGTTTTGTGTTTTGTGTTGGGACTGTATTGTCACGGTTTTGTGTTTTGTGTTGGGACTATATTGTCACGGTGTTGTGTTTTGTGTGTGGACTGTATTGTCACGGTTTTGTGTTTTGTGTTGGGACTGTATTGTCACGGTTTTGTGTTTTGTGTTGGGACTATATTGTCACGGTTTTGTGTTTTGTGTGTGGACTGTATTGTCACGGTTTTGTGTTTTGTGTATGGACTGTATTGTCACGGTTTTGTGTTTTGTGTGTGGACTGTATTGTCACGGTTTTGTGTTTTGTATTTGGACTGTATTGTCACGGTTTTGTGTTTTGTGTGTGGACTGTATTGTCACGGTTTTGTGTTTTGTGTTGGGACTATATTGTCACGGTGTTGTGTTTTGTGTGTGGACTGTATTGTCACGGTTTTGTGTTTTGTGTTGGGACTATATTGTCACGGTGTTGTGTTTTGTGTGTGGACTGTATTGTCATGGTTTTGTGTTTTGTGTTTGGACTGTATTGTCACGGTTTTGTGTTTTGTGTGTGGACTATATTGTCACGGTTTTGTGTTTTGTGTGTGGACTGTATTGTCACGGTTTTGTGTTTTGTGTGTGGACTGTATTGTCATGGTTTTGTGTTTTGTATTTGGACTGTATTGTCACGGTTTTGTGTTTTGTGTTGGGACTGTATTGTCACGGTTTTGTGTTTTGTGTTGGGACTGTATTGTCACGGTTTTGTGTTTTGTGTTGGGACTATATTGTCACGGTGTTGTGTTTTGTGTGTGGACTGTATTGTCACGGTATTGTGTTTTGTGTGTGGACTGTATTGTCACGGTTTTGTGTTTTGTGTTGGGACTGTATTGTCACGGTTTTGTGTTTTGTGTTGGGACTATATTGTCACGGTGTTGTGTTTTGTGTGTGGACTGTATTGTCACGGTATTGTGTTTTGTGTGTGGACTGTATTGTCACGGTTTTGTGTTTTGTGTTGGGACTGTATTGTCACGGTTTTGTGTTTTGTGTTGGGACTATATTGTCACGGTGTTGTGTTTTGTGTGTGGACTGTATTGTCACGGTATTGTGTTTTGTGTGTGGACTGTATTGTCACGGTTTTGTGTTTTGTGTGTGGACTGTATTGTCACGGTTTTGTGTTTTGTGTTGGGACTATATTGTCACGGTGTTGTGTTTTGTGTGTGGACTGTATTGTCACGGTATTGTGTTTTGTGTGTGGACTATATTGTCACGGTATTGTGTTTTGTGTATGGACTGTATTGTCATGGCTTTGTGTTTTGTGTTGGGACTGTAATGCCATGGTTTTAGTTATTATGTTTGGACTGTAATGCTTTAGGTTTGATTTTTTGGGTGAAGTATTTTTTCCCTAAATCCCGAAGACATGGGTGCCAATATAATAAAGGTAATCATTAATTGCAATGCCTTAATTAATTGTCAAATTTCAAAACTTTCGAATTGAAATAAACGAGAGTCCATTTGGTAAGTCCGTTCATGTAGCAACTTACCATTGTATTACTGATCAGTGAGAATAGTGTCCGTAGTAAATATACAGGATATAAGACATCTTAACTTTCCAAAGTCTTGAAATGTGTTGAATGTTTGTTCCGTTTTTCCTATGCCCTCTATGAACTATGAACTATGACCTATAAACATGCATAGACGAAATGACATTGGATAGCTACTAAACAAATAACACCCTCCACGCTCATGTACTCCATTTTTCGCTATAGAACGGCCAATAATAAATTTATTCATTTTCTCACATTTATGTTCACTAAATGCTAATGGATTGTCTATAATGACACCAACATCTTGTTCAATGTTCACGAAATGTTTTATTATGTTACTGCTGCACTTTTCTAGAGGGTGTAATTAATTTGATCAATGTGACCTCCGCGCATTATTTTCCATTTATCTGGACGAAAACGTAGTCACCAGAATGCTGACTATCTTTGAAGATAAAATACGACTTGCTGTAAAATTCAAGTCTTCCTCATTTCATATTTTTTATCCTAAATGCTTCCGTATCGTCCGCGAACAGGTAAGTATTCGTTCCAGGACTTGTGACCTCGGGCATATCATGATTAATGCAACGGTTTGATAAGAGGATACCAGAAATGATAAACCAGCGTAACAGCCATATAAATATATAATTATGTGAGATTTTCAAGAACAATGTCGGCGCATTCGTCTTTGTCAGTTTTTTGTATTGAAGACAATATAGGTGTAACCGAACGCACCTTTAAGCGATATGATCATGTGACCATTCAAAATGGCGGACGTAAACATATCGTTGTTGCTATTTGTGATATTTGTCATGTGCCTTACAGTCGTTTCTTGTAACATTTCGAAAGAACACACGCCGCATGTGAAACGTAAGAACACAATTGTAAGAACGTTTGTTGCTAATGGGATGCTATCGAAGCAGAACAAATTAAATGAGTCTGCTAGTAAATCAAAGCTTCGCAATCGTCCATTAAACACGAGCTCGTGGTCAGCAACATTAGGAAAGGAGAACTTAGTTTATTATAATTCCAACTCGAGACATTTAGGAGAGCAAAAAACCGCATTGACAGACGGAGAAATCGTCAACTATAAACCCGATTCCCCAACTCCTCCTTTCATCATATGGGGACTCGACGGAAAGGTCGTTTATCCTAGCCAATCTTTTGCGAATTCTTCAATTATTATTCATGTATTTGATCCTCAGTCAGGATTTCTTGAATGTATGTGGACATCAGACGAAGGATTGCAACCGATAGTTAAAACTTCACTTTTGAATTCAACGCATTTCATTTTCATCCCCAAATCAGCAGAGATGCAGGAAGTTTATGGTGCTTTATGGATGAGTGACCGCATTCATCATACGCTATTGAGGCATTTTGTTAAAGATACCAACATGTGAGTTGTACTTGGATTACACTGTAACTATTGCTTTAAAGTGCTGCCTTATTGTAAAAAAAAAAACCAATAAAATGAAAGAAAGAAACAAGAACATAACCAAACAAACAAACACACATAAAAAACCAAAGTGAAAAATACCAACAAAACAAAATGTCAGAATTTATTATCATGCATCTTAATTAAAATCACTTGATTCAATAGGGTTTCTGGAGTATACTGTTGTCATTTTTCAGTGTATTGCAAAATATCTACTTTTTGGTTGTTTCCTTTGTTTTTAAAGGAGTGGGACACTTGGTTCTTTGATAATGGAGAGAATCCATTTCTCTGTTGTTCCACTGGACAAGCTTGGAAACTGGATCCCAGATGCATTAAGCCAGTGGCATTGTGTTGACCATCTTTGTGGCTATGATCAAGTAGTTGTTCAATCTACTGGTGAGGGTACTGTAGTGTACAGAATGCTTCAATCTGTTTATATGTTGTACAAAATTTATTGAAGTCATGATAGAGGATATGACATTTACTGTACTTGTATATTGTATTAACCCCAAATCATCATGCAAAGAGTAAGTTCATATTGTTTGAATAAACAGATTTACTACTAGAAACATGTGTAACACACAAGATTTTGAAGATTTATCAGATTTACTGGATATTGAAATCCAGAGACTTATGAATGGATCACAATTTACGTTAGATTTAAATTTAGTATTCTGAATATGTTATCAATTTTGTTCGTTTTGAGAGTTGTAATGAAAAATTCTGTACCTTAAGCTGTTAGTAAGAATAAATTGTTGAATGTAACTTTTACTTGAAGTCTTTGAGAAAGATATGTGTATAAATATTACTGTACTCTAGCATCACAGTTTCCTGTTGTGGCTAAGAGACTGGATGCAAGGTATGACTGGTTGCCGAGTCCACCAAGCGTTTTTGGGAACAAGACACTGCCTATGATTAGAGCTGATACAGGATGCAAAAGTGTGGGCTCTCTAAAGGGATCCATCGCTCTTGTTTCTTCAGGAAACTGTTCCTTCTTTCAAAAGGTATTACTATATCACTAATGAGTCTCTTGTCCTTCAAGTTTAAATTCTGCCTCAACTTCAGAAAAACCCTCTTAAAATTTACATTACAATATCACTTTCATAAAACATAAATGTCCTCTTTTTTTTAATGAAACAAAATATTTCAATTAATTTCTTCATATTTTCCCTCCTAATTTAAGGTTCAAACAATGCAAAAGTCAGGAGCAATTGGTGTTGTTGTATATTCTGATAAAGCTGGATATATACAAGAGTTGAACTGTGAAGGTAGCCAGTGTAACACACCTCTGTCTATACCAGCAACAATGGTAGAGTATAGCAGTATATACACTGGGTAAGTATACAACCATGTTCACTTGAAGTACACACAGCATTTTAAAATACTGTGTATTTATGGAAGATTCAATTACATGTTTCACTGTGAAATGGATCGGCAGTATTTATAGCACCATAATGTTTGACTCAGAATTAGAAAGTCGGGATAATGCTGCAATTTCATGACCTATGTGTTTTCTTAAAGCACAACAAGCATTGTTGAAATTCAGCTTAATGTAGAAGAAAACACTGGTAAACTGTAATATTGACATATAATACATCAATATCTCAGTGATTAAAACAAATTTTTCTTTGGAAACAAATCAGTGTCTGTAGTTTCTTTAGTTTTTTTATCATTTTTTACTTTTCTGTTCCTATACTTTTGAGAGATCAAATTGCTCAGTATGTACATTCATATTTTTTTTCCGTAGAAATGAGAAACTTGAGATAAGTTTCCAGAATACTCCATCTGAGAACTTTTTCTTGGCTGTAAACCAGGCAGGGGACCTGGCAGAGGTTGGCTGGTTCCTGTATCCATCTATGGACTTCCTGGTGTGGCAAGGACAGTGGTAATGATGTATTTATTGACAGGAGAGAAAGATAACAGACTGTACTGTTATAAATATCGGCTCGTCTTTGTTGGAATTAATTTTCCTGATGAAGTTGTACTTATATAATATGTGCTTCAAACTTTGATGAAATAGAAGAAAGGAATCTTATTCTGTACATCATTGCTGAGGTTTATATCTCTGGCTTGAAGTTTGTTTATTGATTAATTTCTACTTACTGAACTCTTGTAATAATGGTATTGATATTTAGTCTTCTCTTTACAATTTCTCTTTTACACAAAAATTTGTTGAGAAGTGTGTCATGAATTTTTGTTTTCCTGAAATGTATTCACAGACTAATATACCATATAGTATAGACATGTGTCTGTTAGATTGATTCATGTTGCCTTTTGAATGACGAGAGCAAATTACAGCACAGATGTGTATGTTGTAGGTTTAAATATAGAGATGAGCTGGACAAAAGACTAGCAGCACCAGCTAACATCATCACGATCTTCTCAGAGAAAACGATGCAAGGGAAAGAGGGTGTTGTTGTCAATGTTACACTGCCTGATCTAAGAGGTGGGTAATACACTGCCTGATCTAAGAGGTGGGTAATACACTGCCTGATCTAAGAAGTGGATAATACACTGCCTGATCTAAGGGGTGGGTAATACACTGCCTGATCTAAGAGATGGGTAATACACTGCATGATCTAAGAGATGGGTAATACACTGCCTGATCTAAGAGGTGGGTAATACACTGCCTGATCTAAGAGGTGGGTAATACACTGCCTGATCTAAGAGGTGATTAATACACTGCCTGATCTAAGAGGTGGGTAATGCACTCCCTGATCTAAGAGCTGGGTAATACACTGCCTGATCTAAGAGGTGATTAATACACTGCCTGATCTAAGAGGTGGGTAATACACTGCTTGATCTAAGAGGTGGGTAATACACCGCCTGATCTAAGAGGTGGGTAATACACTGCCTGATCTAAGAGGTGGGTAATACACTCCCTGATCTAAGAGCTGGGTAATACACTGCCTGATCTAAGAGGTGGTTAATACACTGCCTGATCTAAGAGGTGGGTAATACACTGCCTGATCTAAGAGGTGATTAATACACTGCCTGATCTAAGAGGTGGGTAATACACTGCTTGATCTAAGAGGTGGGTAATACACCGCCTGATCTAAGAGGTGGGTAATACACTGCCTTATCTAAGAGGTGGGTAATACACTCCCTGATCTAAGAGCTGGGTAATACACTGCCTGATCTAAGAGGTGGTTAATACACTGCCTGATCTAAGAGGTGGGTAATACACTGCTTGATCAAAGAGGTGGGTAATACACCGCCTGATCTAAGAGGTGGGTAATACACTGCCTGATCTAAGAGGTGGGTAATACACTGCCTGATCTAAGCGGTGGGTAATACACTGCCTGATCTAAGAGGTGGGTAATGCACTGCCTGATCTAAGAGCTGGGTAATACACTGCCTGATCTAAGAGGTGGGTAATGCACTGCCTGATCTAAGAGGTGGGTAATACACTGCCTGATCTGATTTCATACAATTGCATGTGACCTCGTCACAAATCCCCTTGACTTTTATTATATTTAGAAAACCCTTATTGCTTATATTTACATAATCAGCACTATTTTAGGCAAATTGATTAATCATACAGTTACATTAAGTGAAATCCTCTTATTAATCAATAGAGTAAATTCAGCACAGCCAAAACATGAAATGGTCAGCAAGAGTATTGTGACCTCCCATTACAGTGGAACCAGTCACATCGCTACAGTGGCTGTCTAGTGCTGTTGTTATGGGATAGCAGGGGGAAAATATTAATCTAAAATTTGATGGAATAAAGATGTTTTTCCGATATGTTTGCTTAAGTTATAGATAAAACTTGGAAAATATTTGTTTGTTCTGTAATATCTATCACGTAGTTGTCTTGATAGTTTAGATTGATTGCGCAAATTAATTTGAACTGATTATCACATCATTTTGGATTTGCTGCTTTCCAAAGAAAGATCTATTGTATAACAATTTTTTACTGTCATACTCAAAGTTATCATAATAATGAAATTAGATCTAGAATACTTTTGCTTGACATGGGTAAATTTGTTGAATTGATCAGAATTGTGATGTTGATCTTTTTTACAGATTTACAAAAGTTTTCTAAGATGGAGTTGGACATGTCCCTGTCATGTCCAGGAACCATGGATACAGAATGCCCTCACTGGGATCACACCATTAATCTGTATGTCTGTTGTGACCAGGGGTCACCTCTCTGTGGTATGGAGTTGGGACGTTGGATTAGTGCTTTCCGACGGTAAAACTATTCCCCTACCGATTCATGTCTCCCTGTTGATTGTTGAATCATGATGTGTCGTCTTAAATGTCTCTCACCCTCTCTGGGCTTCTATATCCAAACTACATGTAAAAACTGGTTGTGGAGATAAACTTCTCAAAGTTGTCTTATTTGAAGTCAGCAGGTCAAAGGTTACCTGATTTTTTTATAAATTGAATTACGGTTTCTAGACAACAACTTGTTTGAGGTTTGTGTATCTTGCTGTCTTTGAATATATGGTATGTTTTGTTCCTTTGTATTTTCACTTCCTAATATTATTTTGTGTTTAACAGAAGGATTGGTCGCTGGACAACAGATGTCTCCCCTCTTCTGCCTCTCTTCACAAAGTCTACTTGTGTGTTCAACATGAAAACAGTTGAATGGGCAATGCCTTGGAAGCCGTCACTGAACTTAAGGTTTTCCCAGCCTCGTGTGTCAGGTATGGTGACAAAACTTGGTTTTCCCAGGTCATGTAACTTAAACATCAAAACTTCACTACTTGATAAAACTACTGGGAATGGTGTCAAAACTCCCCTGTTGGGTATTCTGCCTCATCCCCTTGTACCGAGGGACCACAGATAAGGTCTGGGGTGTCCTTGGGTGAAGTAACCAGAAGTTGTTGGGTCTGATTTTGTTATTATGACATTTTGCATAAAAGTATTATCGTTTGATATTTGGTACCATGGAGTATCAACATCCTTGATTGAAACACCATTGGAAGTGTTGACCTTGTTAATGATACTGAAAAGAAATGTAACTTATAGTGACCAGTTTTGGCGTCAGCAGTTCTGTATATTTTTAAGTCTTTATTACATATTTAAAAACTGTTGTTATTTGAACAATCTACAAATCTGTTGTTTTGAACCCTGTACATGTGTACTTAGCAAATACTGTTCTATTTTGTCAATAAATTTCACCTGTTTTAATATCTGCTACAGTATTAAAGGTGCGAGTTTGATCAATTTATCCCATATCTGACTTGTGAAATTGTGATAATGTAGAATGTGTTTTCCATTGCTTGCTAGACCTTGTAAATGGAAGTGGGCCACCACAAGTGTAATACGAAAACTAGAAGAGTTAATATATATTTTATTGTAGCCTCTTCTTTTATAATCAGCCAAGACAGGTAACAGAATAGTGGACATCAATATATATATAAATATATCTATAAAATACTTGACTTTTATTCCACAAGAAAAGTGTTTGTTTTTATCAACATGAAAAGTCTGTACCCATCAGATGTCACCGTGCTGTACTGTGTTATTTGTAGGTGACATGTACCCATCAGATGTCACCGTGCTGTACTGTGTTATTTGTAGGTGACATGTACCCATCAGATGTCACAGTGCTGTACTGTGTTGTTTGTAGGTGACATCAGATGTCACAGTGATGTACTGTGTTGTTTGTAGGTGACATCAGATGTCACAGTGATGTACTGTGTTGTTTGTAGGTGACAGATGTCACAGTGCTGTACTGTGTTGTTTGTAGGTGACATCAGATGTCACCGTGCTGTACTGTGTTGTTTGAAGGTGACATGTACCCATCAGATGTCACAGTGCTGTACTGTGTTGTTTGTAGGTGACATCAGATGTCACAGTGCTGTACTGTGTTGTTTGTAGGTGACATCAGATGTCACAGTGCTGCACTGTGTTGTTTGTAGGTGACATCAGATGTCACAGTGCTGCACTGTGGTGTTTGTAGGTGACATCAGATGTCACAGTGCTGTACTGTGTTGTTTGTAGGTGATATGTACCCATCAGATGTCACAGTGCTGTACTTTGTTGTTTGTAGGTGACATGTACCCATCAGATGTCACAATGCTGTACTGTGTTGTTTGTGGGTGACATCAGATGTGACAGTGCTGTACTGTGTTGTTTGTAGGTGACATGTACCCATCAGATGTCACAGTGCTGTACTGTGTTGTTTGTAGGTGACATCAGATGTCACCGTGTTGTACTGTGTTGTTTGTAGGTGACATCAGATGTCACAGTGCTGTACTGTGTTGTTTGTAGGTGACATGTACCCATCAGATGTCACAGTGCTGTATTGTGTTGTTTGTAGGTGACATCAGATGTCACAGTACTATACTGTGTTGTTTGTAGGTGACATCAGATGTCACAGTGCTGCACTGTGTTGTTTGTAGGTGACATCAGATGTCACAGTGCTGTACTGTGTTGTTTGAAGGTGACATGTACCCATCAGATGTCACAGTGCTGTACTGTGTTGTTTGTAGGTGACATCAGATGTCACAGTGCTGTACTGTGTTGTTTGTAGGTGACATCAGATGTCACAGTGCTGCACTGTGTTGTTTGTAGGTGACATCAGATGTCACAGTGCTGCACTGTGTTGTTTGTAGGTGACATCAGATGTCACAGTGCTGCACTGTGGTGTTTGTAGGTGATACAGATGTCACAGTGCTGCACTGTGGTGTTTGTAGGTGATACAGATGTCACAGTGCTGTACTTTGTTGTTTGTAGGTGACATGTACCCAGCAGATGTCACAGTGCTGTATGAACCTGGAGCAACATTTGATAAAACATACAACTCGCACTTCAAACCGTACTCGTTTACTGTGCCAAGTGATATCAAAAAGGTAACTATATCATTTTAACCTGCTATGGCACTGCCATTGTCAGAATACACCTGCAGAATATATTTTTGCTGTATTTAGGTAGTGATGGAAAACAGCTGTATTATAGCACATAAGTGAATTCGACAGAATTAATTTCTGAATTTACATGAAAATTACATTTAACAATGTAAATAAATGTTGAAATAAATGATTTTATATATAGTAATGAACAAGTTTATTTACGGAAATTCATAAAATCGCTGTTTTATCTGTTGAAGTTTGGAACAATACTTCTGCACAGAACAATTGTTTTGGCGTACATCGCCAGGCAACATTCAGTGTAATGTCAACATCATGTAAACAAAGAATAAATGAAACAAATTTAAGTTTTGATTGTCTGATGTTCCATCAACGTTGCAGGATAAATAGAATACATTGTCAGTGTCTTAAAATATATAAGCTGCACTGTGGCTCGGGACAGGTAGACCAAGGTGGCTGACCAAAGGCTTGCCACTCTAGCTTTCTTCACTCACGCCAAAATACATGTGATATTTTAAGAAACCTGCCATGTATTCGGGACAGGTAGACCAAGGTGGCTGACCAAAGGCTTGCCACTCTAGCTTTCTTCACTCACGCCAAATTACATGTTATATTTTAAGAAACCTACCATGTATTCTCTATAATGGTTATGAAGGAATGTTTGCTACTAGATGCAGTAGTGTTGTTAATAGAACGGTCTGATTTGTTCTGACATGATAACCTCCTGTAATCATGACAAATTTTATCATTAAATGTCAAAGGATTTTAATTCATAGCATATTTTCTTGCATTAAAAGTATATCATATAACTTAAAAATATATCTCTGTGTCAGTAATATATTGAGAAATACCTGTGTTGTTTTGATGTGTATTTTAAGGTAGAGATAGTGGCTGTGATCACTGGACATGGAAGCGATGAGAATGGATGTGGAGAATTTTGTGTGACTTCTCATCATTTTAAAGTTAATGATCACATAAACAACATCACATTTAGTGATGCAGGTAAGATGGTCTTACATCATTTCTCTTTAGTAAATGCTGATATTCCAACTGTGGACATTTGTTTTTGTGTGTAAGACATATTCTAACAGCTGAGATGTGTTTATGTGTATATATTCCATCTGTTGACACACATTTTTGTATATATATACTTTAATTTTAGACACGTGTTTATTTGAAAACATTCCATCTGTTGACACACATTTTTGTATATATATACTTTAATTGTAGACACGTGTTTATTTGAAAACATTCCATCTGTTGACACACATTTTTGTATATATATACTTTAATTGTAGACACGTGTTTATTTGAAAACATTCCATCTGTTGACACATATTTTTGTGTATATATATACTGAAGTTGTAGACACGTGTTTATTCTGACTTTTCTTACATGTTACCTTCAAACATTTAGGTACTCCATTGGGCTGTGCAGATCAAGTGCCGTATGGAGTGGAGCCAAATGAACACGGTACCTGGCTTTATGGTAGGAACGGCTGGTGTGACGGACAGAATGTGTCACCTTGGGTGATAGATATCACTGCACAGCTAGGAACATCGGGAACACAGAACTCTCTGTCGTATTTTGGATGGTTTAATGGGACAGACCCAAACCCTAAACAAAGCCCAGGAATCATTATTATGTATTCCTATCTGGTGTACTATAGGGAATTCACACTGTAAACATCATCATTGCTTTTGTTAACTTTTTTTTTCATGGAAAGATCTTTTCTGAAATATTGCAGGATTGATTTAAGTCATGCCTGTATTTTACAGAAAAATATTACATTTTTCAGTAAAATTTTTCATAATTGCCAAAAACTTCCCTTAATTGGATAATATTTTAATATTGTACCCTACGGTAAGAAATTGCTAAAACACTTTCAGATGTGCTGCTTTTATGCCAATAGAAGTATGTACTACGAATTTTCAATATACACTTTCAACTCCATATTCATGACATTCAGTACATTTCATACAAATTTAGGTATCATTGGTGTCCGTAGTGATTACAGAGACTACATCTTGAGGTAATATATATTGTGAGATATGACGACAGTTTAATACTTTGATGTGTTGTCCTTAGTCGAATCTTAAAAACGCTAGTTTATCCAATACACCTGTACGAAAATTAATTTATTAAGTTTTCAAACCAAAGTCGTCATACAATATGGCTGGCAATATCAAGCTAGCTAAATCCAATGATAGACCATTTCATCGCCATCTTGAAGAGACGTTTGAACAAGTGCATTTAATTTTTTCAAAAACTTATTGATATATTTTTTTTTTGTTAAAATGATGATATCAAATGTCTGTATAAGGCTCTAGTTTAGTATGGAATTCATTCTACACAAATGTTCAGATACACTTTGTTTCAGATGTGTGTTGTTACCAAAACCCTCATTTCTGACTGACTGTATTCACAGAAGTATAAACAGTATTGTTAGATACACTGTTCATGCATATCCTGATAATTTATCATAGAAGACATTTTTTTGGTGAGTTACCCTTACAAATTGTATTTATGGAATAAATCTGATTTTTTTTTTTATTGATTTGTCGTGCCTATAGTGACAATGGTTTGATGATAGTGTACTTTGTATATCTACATTATTTTTTTGTGTGTATTTATTTATACATTCCTTTGTTTTGTATAAATGACTCTTTACACTTTTTGCGGATCTGTCTTTTTTCACATTAATTCCTCAATAAAAATTTGTAAAATAATTTTCTCAGCGTTTCTTGTGTGTCGCCCCTGTATGTTGATTACATAAAGATTAAAACAATAATTATATATATATTTTTTTTTTTCGCTGAAAAAATGTTTGTGTCACGAGAAACAGTAACTCTCCAGTACCCGACCTTGTTGCCATAATTTTCATCACAGCTGAGTTTTGGTAAATCCCCAAAAGTACTTGCATCAAGTACTGATATACTTGTACCCAGTACTAGTGTTTTCTGAAGACTATATAATGACTCTATCAATTCTATAATCTTGTTTATTGTAAGTCTTAAACTTAGGAACACAGATGACGAAGACCGTGCGGATTTTGACTGATCGCCTTTAACACCTTTCCTGTTACTTAACATTCCGCAACCAAACGGGACAACACTGATAGACCAATAAAGGAAAGTCCAGTCATATTTAGATCACGTGACACTCTGGTGGAGTCAGCATGCCCGTTTAGTTAAGTTTATGATAAGAGGAAGTCTGTATTTATAAAGTTTAAATCTTGTTTCGCAATTGTTGGAAAATAAATAAAGTTGATTTATTTATAACTAGACCTGAGAATTAGTATCAGTGATACTATTTAATTATAATTATAATAATTAATTAATTTCACCGGGGACATTAGATCTACGTCCCTGATTACACATTAAATATGAATGAAGTATAAAAAAAGTGCCCTTGTTATCATAATGTCGATCAGAATATTATTGTCTCGTATTTCCACTCCTGTCAACTATCTGCACGACTACAAATATTAATAATAATTAATAATTAATATACAATTGTTTTTGCTAGACCTGAAATGTCACATTTATATAACGCTTATGGTGTGTACAGTACATTATCTTGATGAAATGTTCAAGTGTTTATCAAAGAACACCAGAACAAGAAGAAAGATTGCTGATCTCTTTAATCTCAAATCCCTTTCGAATTTGATGCATCACCCAATAATGTTGTTTTCTATCCCAGCGTCCAGTCTGAAACATAAGGCATGCGTAAGTGGTACCCATACGGCGATATGTTTGGATATTCCTGAAGACTTCAATACAAATTTAGAATTAGATAAAACACATGTAACCGCATTCTAGGAATCGTCAGTGAAGCTGTGGGCCTAATTTTTGAAGCCTGGTAGACGACCAAGGAAAACCAAGGTGATGGGAAAATGCTGTTTTATTGTTTATTGATAACAGGATTCAATATAAATTTAAATATCGTGAATGACTGCTTATATGTATTACCGTGATGTGCTTATCGTGTCTTTTATCGTGATTAAGCTCATTGTACGTCTCATTGTGATAAAGTCCTCTGTATGGAAAAGTGCATGTGTTACAATGATAACCAAAAATCGTTTAAAATCGAAGATAATCACCTTATTTTGCAAATGAAATGTCTCTCAGAATGACAAGGTACATCTATCCAGTGATAATGTGTACTTGTACGTAAACAAACACAATTCTCTCCCGCCCCGGCGTTCTGTGGTTCTCCCGATGCCCAGTCCGTGTATTCAACAAAACTGTCCGTGGTTGTCCAACGCCACTGTCCCTCTACTTCCACATCAGTGGCACTCATGTAGTAACATCCTAAACACATAACATCATATACATTAATTCGTTTTTATAATATATTTATTAATAGAGGTTTTTATTTTCCTGATTTCGCGGATAATTTCAACACACGAATATTCTTTTGAAAAACACGGCATCTACAGGTAAGCACCGCGAAAATACATGCTTTCAAAGAGCATGTGTACAAACTGATGTATCCGCAAAATTTTTTACATTTTCCACAAATTTCTAACTTGATAGTGAATGATTATTTTAAATATTAAATCAATGACAAAGTTGTTATTTGAGATAAAAAAAAATACAACGATAAAGAACCTGGGGCATGCATGTGTGTAAGTTCGGATTTAACAAACGTATTCTCGTGCTCATCCAAGATGTCCAGTAAATAGCCACGGAATACACTACAGTAAGTCTGAAACACGAATTTTTAATTACTTGTATGTATGTTAATAATTGGTAATAGACGTTGTTATAGATCTCGTGTCAATGACATGTGTCAAGACACATGTTGTTATAGATCTCGTGTCAATGACAGGTGTCACGACACATGATTTTATAGATCTCGTGTCAATGACATGTGTCTCGACACATGTTGTTATAGATCTCGTGTCAATGACAGGTGTCACGACACATAATTTTATTGATCTCGTGTCAATGACAGGTGTCAAGACACATTGTTATAGATCTTATGTCAATGACAGGTGTCACGACACATGTTATAAATCCATGTCAATGACAGGTGTCATGTACGTTTATGTTTTATAACACACATATTGTTATAGATATCTCGTCATTTACAGGTGTCACGAATGTTTATAATTTGTATCACACACGTGTACACGAATGTTTATATTTAACATGATATATTGGCAATCCTACATATCATAATACATATCTTACCATTGCCTGGATCCAATTCTCAGTCTCGTTGGTGACAAACAAGTAACACGAATCCTCATAGTTTAACCAGCCGTTCCTGCACTCGTATGATGACACTCGGTGAACCCAAAAACATATCGTAAACTTATAATCAGCATTTAAACAATGGAATTTAGACATATACTTTCTTATGTATATATAACTTGTTATATGTTAACTACTTTAGAATGAAAAAAAAATACTCAGTTCAATTTGTCCTCGCGTTTGCTTGGAATAATTCTGGTCGCCAATTAATGATAGGGATGCGAACCTTTAATTTCTTGGGTAAACAGTAAGACTGTAACAGAGATTTTATAGTACTAAAGACGTTAGTAAACAGCTTTGACAAAGGTTCGATTGAGCAACTAGACGAGCCAGTAATATAACGCTGTTTTTACGGATTCTTGTGAAGTTATGAAATCCAATATAAACGGAGGAGGTCTGTATCCTTATCATTGATAGAAAATCTGAATGAATAATACAATACCGATACATGAGTTGCCAGTATTTCTTCTTTGGAATGATTGGGTAATGTATAGGTGGGGCTTCCTTTGTTATTAAGCAAGTCTAGTTCTTTTTGTATACAGGAAATGTAATAATATTTTGCAGACAGGTTAAAGTTATTTGACGCTTTATCTACAGACATAATTACTTACCTGTCATATAAATTTTGAAGTGTTTATTTAACATGAAGATAAAGGAATACAGACTTTATTTTCATTTTCCTATTTTCAAGCTTCTTTAAAGAATGATAGACTGAATGGATTAACCACTCTGAAACCGAATCCATTTTATATTTATCCGTCAGTTTAGGATACACTTCAGAAAAACACAGAGAATCTATAATCAGCTTTTTTTCTGAACTAGTAAGAAAACTATGAATACCAGAAGGTACCTAACAAAGATCTGTATTTATATAATATATGATGGTCAACTTCGTCGAAGTGAGTTGACAATAAGATACCTTCTGTTCCAACAATAGTTAAGATCCACAGAGCAAGAATCCAGAGTTCCATATCGAAATGTTGGCAAAGTACTGCTTATCTGTGAAAGGTTATATTATCAATGTTTTGGCCACTGATACGAAGTGTATTTGTAATCGTAAACAAGGGAACTGACCGACTTAAAAGGGACTTTTACCACATTAAGTGTGTACACACGTATCCTCTGACTGGTATCCTCTTAAAACACTCTCTGTTTATATATAATGTAATATCAATATGTAAAATAACACGAAAAAACACAAAATATACGTTATACACGGAATGGAGATTGGAACGGGAAATATAAAAATTGTTAATGTGACAGACCGTGTGACTTTTAGAGTCTGGTCTGTGACAAGTGTGAGTTTTTTAGTCAGGTCTGTGACCAGTGTGACTTTTGGAGTCAGGTCTGTGACCAGTGTGACTTTTGGAGTCAGGTCTGTGGTCAGTGTGACTTTTGGAGTCAGGTCTGTGACCAGTGTGACTTTTGGAGTCAAGTCTGTGACCAGAGTGATTTTTAGAGTCAGGTCTATGGTCAGTGTGACCTTTGGAGTCAGGTCTGTGTTCAGTGTGATTTTTTGAGTCAGGTCTGTGTTCAGTGTGATTTTTTGAGTCAGGTCTGTGTTCAGTGTGATTTTTGGAGTCAAGTCTGTGGTCAGTGTGACTTTTGGAGTCAGGTCAGTGTTCAGTGTGACTTTTGGAGTCAGATCTGTGGTCATTGTGACTTTTTGAGTCAGGTTTGTGACCAGTGTGACTTTTGGAGTCAAGTCTGTGGTCAGTGTGACCTTTGGAGTCAGGTCTGTGGTCAGTGTGACCTTTGGAGTCAGGTCTGTCTTCAGTGTGATTTTTTGAGTCAGGTCTGTGTTCAGTGTGATTTTTGGAGTCAGGTCTGTGTTCGGTGTGATTTTTGGAGTCAAGTCTGTGGTCAGTGTGACCTTTGGAGTCAGGTCTGTGTTCAGTTCGATTTTTGGAAACAGGTCTGTGTTCGGTGTGATTTTTGGAATCAAGTCTGTGGTCAGTGTGACTTTTGGAGTCAGTTCAGTGTTCAGTGTGACTTTTGGAGTCAAGTCTGTGACCAGTGTGACTTTTGGAGTCAGGTCAGTGTTTAGTGTGACTTTTGGAGTCAAGTCTGTGATCAGTGTGATTTTGGAGTCAGGTCTGTGACAAGTGTGACTTTTGGAGTCAAGTCTGTGGTCAGTGTGACCTTTGGAGTCAGGTCTGTGGTCAGTGTGACCTTTGGAGTCAGGTCTGTGTTCAGTGTGATTTTTTGAGTCAGGTCTGTGTTAAGTGTGACTTTTGGAGTCAGGTCTGTGACCAGAGTGACTTTTGGAGTCAGGTCTGTGACCAGAGTGACTTTTGGAGTCAGGTCTGTGTTCAGTGTGATTTTTTGAGTCAGATCTGTGGTCAGTGTGACCTTTGGAGTCAGGTCTGTGGTCAGTGTGACTTTTGGAGTCAGGTCTATGGTCAGTGTGAATTT